TATATATAATATTCATCACGTTAATATTATATCAATTTCAATGCTTAAAAGTCTATTGAATTTTAATTTATTAAAATTTTGATACTTTGAAACTTTTTTTATTATTATGAGCATAATTATTATGCTACTTTATGTCGTAATCCTTAATGTATACATCGATAAATTTTATTATAACAATTTTTATATCAAATATACTGCCGTCGGGATCCAATTTAAACAGCCAATACTTACCGCTTAAAGATTTGACAAATTTTTCTTTTTCTCTGCTTAAAATTAATGTGAAAACTTCCGTTTAATTAATAACAAACCTCGAATCAACGAATCATTCAAGCATTATTTGTTTGGTGGTTCTGTCAAAATTAAATAATATTTTAAATCAGAAAGTGTTTTCAGTGACAATGTCATTTTTATGAAAATATTATTTTTCATTTATTTATTTATCAATGTCCCACTTTCCTCGAATTTTCAGTTTAAAAAATGTCAAAGCTACATTTTTTCTTGGAAACTGCACAAGAGTAATTCAGTCACCAGAGCTTGGTATGATTTGTTACGTAAAAACTAATGTCAGAAAGTTTGCTTCGTGAAAGCTTATGAGGAAAACTATATAAATTTTGGACAAAAATGTGGAGAGAATATATATAAAAACAAATCTTTGAATGCATTTTGATTTTAATTACTATTGAAACCAAGTTTTAAAAACAACTGCAAAATATAATTTCAAACAATGATATTTTCAGACACACAACTAAACTAATTCGTTCAAAATTCATGGTATTTTTAATTTCCGAATAAAAGTGCAAATATTTTCTGGTTTTGGATATTTTTGCGTCGTTGCATATTAAAACTATTTCCTAAAGTAATTTTATCAAGATAAGGATAACAGAAAAAGGAATAGATTTTTTGTTTTGGTGCCCGAAATTAATAATAAACTCTATTTAACGAATTACATTCTGCATCAGAATACGATTTTCTATTTTAAACTAAATAGTGTTAATTTAATAAATCAGTATATATATATATATATTTTACTTTAGTTAATTTTATTATTGCAGATTGGTACAGTTGGTCCTGGGAGACATATAAATATCACAAAGTTGATAACACCAGAGGTTGCCACAACTTATCAATTTTCGAATCGGAAATATATTATAACGACAATATTAGTAAGAATTTCTGAACCATTCAAAACATTGGTGAACTTTCACACTAGTATGTTTGTTATATTTGTTAAAAATTTTATTAAAGTGTCAATTTAAACATTATCCTAGTGCAAATTTCTGCTTTTTATTAAAAACAAAAATTGAAGAACTTAGTGATAAGCGATATCTACAATCTTAAACAATATTAAATTACAGCATTAACAAAATAACATGCGATTTTCATAATTCTTATGAGCTTATAAAAGTTATTAATTCTTATAAAACGTTTGGCCTATCTTTAACTAGCTTTCTTTATATTAATAGTAAAAATTGTTTAAAATATTTTTAAGAAATTCTGCCAAGGTAGAACTTGTAGAAAATTTCGCTTAATTTGCAATTTCAAATACTTTCATATTTTTTTTAATTATTGAAAATATTTGTTTTCATATATAGCAAGTTCTTCTGTGTAAATGATAACTTTACTTAATTTAAGGCGAATAGGTGAATTTTTCCTAGTGAAAGTCTTTTTCAAGGATTCTAAACTTTAATGAAAACTATGTTCCCCTTTCTTAACATTAAAATAGCAGTAAATTTAACTGATTTTAAGATTCAATGACTAAAAGAATTTTCACCAGTATATGTATAATTGATTTTTAACTGTGCATAAAATTTTAAGCCTTGCATGAATTATAACTTTTTAACTGTGCATAAAATTTTAAGCCTTGCATGAATTATAACTTAGTTCCTTAATATTACAAAACGTTTTAAGGTTGGCAAATATTAACATAAACTTTGCTTACAGGCCAAGCCATTTGCTATGTTGAAGTATTCCTCGAAACAACTGAGTGGCAATGAAAGATATGAAGGATTCAGCATTGATCTTATAGAAGAGTTATCGCACAAGTTGAAATTCTCGTATGAAATCCGGGAAGTTGAAGATAGTAAGCACGGATATGAAGTTGATAAAGCTAGAGGAATATGGAATGGCATGGTTGGGGAAGTTTTGCGTGGGGTAAAATCTTTAAAAATCATTTTAGTCAAATCACGAACTCTTTGGCTTATAAACAGAAAATTTAAAAGAAAAGATTAATTTTAAGCATTTGAAAATTACTATCGTTTTCCTTTACCAAATTCTAACAAAGAGAAAAAAATGTGGTTTTCTTTCAAGTATCCTAAAAAGCAGTTAAACTGATTATAATAGTTGTTGCAGGCACGCTCGTACACTGAAGAGCCAAAAAAACTGGTATACCTGCCTACTATCGTGTAGGGCCCCCACGAGCACGCTGCAGTGCCGCAACACGACGTGGCATGGATTCGATCAATGTGTGAAGTAGTGCTGGAGATAATTGACACCATGAATCCTGCAGGGCTGTCCATAAACCAGTGGGAGTAAGAGGGGGTGGGGATATCTTCTGAACATCACGTTGCAAGGCATCCCAAATATGTTCAATAATGTTCATGTCTGGGGATTTTGGTGGATTTCCGATACTCACGGTATACTCGTGAAATGGTCGTACGTGAAAATCCAAATTTCATTGCTATCTCGGAGATGCTATGTCCCATCTCCCGTGCGCCGACTATAACACCACGTTCAAACTCACTTAAATCTGTATAACCTGGCATTGTAGCAGCAGTAACCGATCTAAGAACTGTGCTAGACACTCGCTGTCTAATATACGCGTTGCCGATCGCAGCGCTGTACTTTGATTGGCTCCACACCCCTTTATTTGCGTACTCATGTCTGTACCAGTTTTTTTGGCTCTTCAGTGTATAAACTTTTGTTTTGGGAGAAAGAGTTATGACTTTAGCAAGTGTCACTTTATTTAAGGTATTTAATATATATCGCTGTTGTGACGACAATTTGTTTTTGTTAATATGCAGTACAAAAAAAAAAACGGACCATTCTGAATAGCTTTTGATCTAATGACTCGACCTTAATGTTCTAGAATTCAATCTAAATGGTTCGAGATTGCGATTTCAAATATGTAAATTAATTAATTTAGACTATATTTTAAGTTACGAAGCAAGACACAAAACGTACCTTTTCTAAATAAGCATATTCTTTTTTGATGAACTCGGATTTTTGATTCTCAAAATATAGGGGGAAGCTGCAACCAAAATATAGGGGGAAGCGTTTCACAGTAGACCAGTTTAACGAGAACCGATACCGTACACCTTAACTCCTTGATATCATTGTTCTACTGGAAACCGTAACACAACGATCAGACGACATAATAGGAATAAAATTTGTTTTGTAATCACCACCCCAGACTTTAGTGCTGCAATTTATTAACAAATAAAACTAAGAATAGTATTTAAAAATTTTCAAATAATCTTTTTGAATTATATTTTTGAGATGGTGAAATTTAATTAAAAATATAACCCAGTTTTTTAATTTATTTATATGGGGATTATTTTTACCGTCTACTCTTAGGTTGCTGACATGGCCGTAGCTGATGTGACAATCACTTCTGACCGTGAAAAAGTTCTGGACTTTTCGCATCCATTTATGAATACAGGGATTAGCATTTTGTTCAAGAAGCCAACCGAGAAAGTAAAATCTCTCTTTTCGTTTTTATCACCTTTTTCGACGGAAGTATGGTTTTTTGTGATGATGGCGTTCACGGGTGTCAGCTTCATCCTGTTTCTGGTCGGTAGACTGAGCCCATATGAGTGGGAGAACATAAATCCTTGTCGACAAGATGAGAAAATCGAAGAAAATTGTTTCACTATATTGAACAGTATGTGGTTTACAATAGCATCACTTATGCAGCAGGGCTGTGAAGTAGCTCCAAGGTAATTATTAATAGTTTCAGATAAAATTTGTAGGAAAAATGGATCAGTTCTGACAAAACTATTCATTTTAACTAATATTTAATGGGTGGGTGTTTATTTGCTTGGGATTCTTTTTCAATAAATTCGTTATGTACGTATAAATGGGATTATTTCGTTTCTAGAGGCCATACAAATGTTACCACAGTACTTCTTACCTAAATTAATTAAACATATCTTTGGCATCAGCAATAATTTGGTGACTTAAAGCTCTATAAAAAAGAATACTACCGTCGAAATCAACATTTTAAATTGAAAAGCTTCCTTAAGAAAAACAATTTTAAATCGCTGTTTTAAATCATTTTATATATTATGATTAGTATAGACATGAAATACTTATAAATGTTTGGCTGAAAATAGAAAGCATAAGATATTAATTTGATATCAATTTAATGGGAAGAATTTTTTCTTCTTTTATTACTCATTAATTTAGCATTTATCTCCAATTTTTCTTAATAACTGGACTGAGTGCTGTTGGGAGAATTACTTTCACTGGAATGGAAAAAAGCAAGGTATAAGAAATGATCTAAAGTAGACAAATATTTATTCAGATGATCAAAATATTATGTGAATAAATTCACGGATAAAATCTTCACGGGCAAAATTTCTATGTTAGACAGCAAATTCGCAAGTGAAAAATGCGTTCACAATATTGCATAAACATAAAAAAATGTCTTGCAAAAACTGTATTTATACAAATTAATATCGATATGATGTTGCACTACAAAGTATTAACACGATGAAAATGTTATAAAATAATGTGACACACGAGATATTGTCCAAAAGAAAGTTTACTTTATTTATTCGTGATTTTGTTTATATTTTTGGTGAGACATATCATATTCTTAAATCTATAAATGAGAGCTTCGTTTAGTTAGTGTAAATTGAAAATAATAAATGGTTGGATATTTAATAACCATTGCATCAGGGCAGGATAGTACTAAAATTCTTATGGATCAATTCTATTGAAGAGAACAATGTAGGCCGTCATGATTAGCACTCTGTAATAATTGAGTATCAATCAATCCATGCTCAACAAACATCTATGTTCATAATTGAGGAATTTCCAAAACTATTTTTGTTGTTGTTGTTTCTAATGCCATTTGCCACACTAGCAAACCTGCTTGGTGAAACCGAGCAAATTTAAGGCAGAGGGTGCGTTCCTTGTTTTTTCAATGGCGCCATCTATGACCAAGAATTCGTCTTAAGCCACACACACGTCACACCCGTTTATAGGGCGGACCCATTCATACATCCATTCATTCATCCACAGATCGTAATTTTTGACCTGGATCAGAGAACGATCGATCTCCAATCCAGTACTCCCAGAGGTATTGATTTGTTATCGGAACATGAAGGACTTTGCGACTCGACAGATTTAACGTGCATCAGTCACCATTTTACTACACGGGGAGTCTTCGGCCGGCAGGGTCTGAACCCATGAACTTTCGGACATGGGCCCAGCGCCCTACCAACCAGGCTATCCCGGTTTGGTATAGGTATATTTTTGGGCCATTTTTGATATAGGTATATGCTATACGTTACAACTTCTAAACTTGCAGTTTGCCAGATTCTTTTTATGAAATGCATTTACATATTATTTTTGAGTATATACGTAACTAGAGAAATCTATAATGAAAAATCTGACTTGATTTCATGTTAAAAGTCTTTACGAAAAATAATTCTATATTTGTATTAATTTCAGGTCTTCATCCACCAGAACTATATCAGGAATTTGGTATTTTTTTACATTAATCATGATTTCGTCTTACACTGCCAACTTAGCTGCATTTCTAACTGTAGAGAGAGTTGTCTATCCCATTGAATCCTACAAAGATTTAATAAAACAAACTAAAATTAAGTATGGTTGTCTAGAAAGTGGATCAACGCGAACCTTTTTTCAAGTAAGTTAGCTCTGGTCGATTCTTTACACTTCTTTAACTTAACTATTTGAGTTACTGAAACTTTGAATTAAATGGAAATTGATTCCATGGTTTTGTCTCACTCACGCCTGAAATATTTTTGTTTGTACCTATGTCAGAAATATTTTAGTACCAAAGACTATAGCAAATTCCTTAAAAAATTTTAAATGTCATCAATTAAATTTAATTCATATTTATTAAAAAAAACGAGTATAATTTTTTATTTATCCTTTTGACGAGGAAAAGATTTTGAATATGATTTTTCACTTTGTTTTAGCCTATGTTAAGAAAAACATTAAATAATATACAGAGTTCTATTATTCTTTAGTATAAGCTTAAAGGTTTGATATTACGGTAAATGAAGGCTTTAAAATTTAACTTTTGAACTCAAAATTTAAGGATTGTTTTAGTACACTTATAGCTCTTGCAGGTACAAATGCAAGGTATGGCCGAAAATTAGACGATTCGGTGACAGGGCTCGTTTTGTTTTTTAACGAAAAGCAGGAGAGGACTATGATTGAGCCATATTTTAGAAAATTTAAAAAATATTTTTAATTGCAATGAGCAGTCAACGAGAGCGAGAGCGTCTTTTGTGATGGCATTTTATAGAAGTGGCAACAGTTCTTTGGAAGATACTGTAGCATGATATGGGCGATAATAATAGGAGACATGCCGAGGGCGTAGGATGGATAGTGGGCACCTAAAAGACTTTATTTTTGGGAAATAAATTTTTTTTCTGCTTGAATAATAAATCGATAAATGTTTGCTGTATTTAAAGCACGTAAATAAGAAAGGTAGGAATAGCCTGGTTAGTAGGGAGTTGGGCCCATGTTCAAGAGTTCCTGAGTTCGAGATCCGCCGGCCAAAGACTCTCCGTGCAGTAAATGGTGACTGGTGCACGTTAAATCTGTCGAGTCACAGAGTCCTTCATGTTCCCATAACAAATGATACCTCTGAGGGTACTGAATTAGAGTTTGACCGTTCTCTGGTTTAGATAAAAATTACGATCTGAGGATGAATGAATGGATGTATGAAAGGGTTCACCCAATGAACGGTCTGTGACGTGTGTGTGGCTGAAGTCGAATTTTTGAAAATAGATTGCACCACTGAAAAACAAGAAACACTCCCTCTGCCTTAAATTCATTTTGCTTCACTAAGGCTTGCTGGTATTGGCAAGTAGCATCACTACCACACCTTATAGAAATGAGTATTGTAATATTGAACGTAGCAGAAAGTTGCATTTTATTGCAACAGTATTTAAACGAGTCATTAAAATCAAATCTGCAACGAATAGGGAAAAGAATTACCAAGTTATTACATTGTGAATTCCCACTTCCTTACTTCCGTCAGTTTCTTTATCTGCATCTAAGAATTTGCTTCATTTTACATGTTCTTATTTTAAAAATTACCTTTGAAATAGAGATTTTGTTCATAAGATATTACGAATTAAAATTAAAAAAAAGTAGAGGAAGAAATAAAATTAATAACGAAGTATTAACGTTGAGGTAACTGAAAAAATNATGGTTCGAGATTGCGATTTCAAATATGTAAATTAATTAATTTAGACTATATTTTAAGTTACGAAGCAAGACACAAAACGTACCTTTTCTAAATAAGCATATTCTTTTTTGATGAACTCGGATTTTTGATTCTCAAAATATAGGGGGAAGCTGCAACCAAAATATAGGGGGAAGCGTTTCACAGTAGACCAGTTTAACGAGAACCGATACCGTACACCTTAACTCCTTGATATCATTGTTCTACTGGAAACCGTAACACAACGATCAGACGACATAATAGGAATAAAATTTGTTTTGTAATCACCACCCCAGACTTTAGTGCTGCAATTTATTAACAAATAAAACTAAGAATAGTATTTAAAAATTTTCAAATAATCTTTTTGAATTATATTTTTGAGATGGTGAAATTTAATTAAAAATATAACCCAGTTTTTTAATTTATTTATATGGGGATTATTTTTACCGTCTACTCTTAGGTTGCTGACATGGCCGTAGCTGATGTGACAATCACTTCTGACCGTGAAAAAGTTCTGGACTTTTCGCATCCATTTATGAATACAGGGATTAGCATTTTGTTCAAGAAGCCAACCGAGAAAGTAAAATCTCTCTTTTCGTTTTTATCACCTTTTTCGACGGAAGTATGGTTTTTTGTGATGATGGCGTTCACGGGTGTCAGCTTCATCCTGTTTCTGGTTGGTAGGCTGAGCCCGTATGAGTGGGAGAACATAAATCCTTGTCGACAAGATGAGAAAATAGAAGAAAATTGTTTCACTATATTGAACAGTATGTGGTTTACAATAGCTTCACTTATGCAGCAAGGCTGTGAAGTAGCTCCAAGGTAATTATTAATAGTTTTAGATAAATTTTGTAGGAAAAATGGATACGTTCTGATAAAATCATTCCTTTTAATTAATAATTTTAGATAATATTAGATAATATTAGGAGGGGAGTTTATTTGTTTGGGATTCTGTTTCAATAAATTTTTTATATACGTTTAAGCAATTCTATTTCGCTTCAAGAGGCCATAAAAATATTACCACAGAGGCCATAAAAATATTACCTCCTTACCTAAATTAATTAAGCATATCTTTGGCATCAACAATAATTTGGTGACTTAAAGCTCTATAAAAAAGAATACTACCGTCGAAATCAACATTTTAAATTGAAAAGCTTCCTTAAGAAAAACAATTTTAAATCGCTGTTTTAAATCATTTTATATATTATGATTAGTATAGGCATAAAATATTTATAAATGCTTGGCTGAAAATAGTAAGCATAAGAAATTAATTTGATATCAATTTTGGGTGAAGAATTTTTTTTCCTTCTTTTATTACTCATTAAGTTATTATTTATCTCCAATTTTTCTTAATAACTGGACTGAGTGCTGTTTGGGAGAATTACTTTCACAGGAATGGAAAAAAACAAGGCATAAAAAATTATCTAAAGTAGACAAATATTTAATCAGATGATCAAAATATTATGTGAATAAATACACGGACAAAATCTTCACGGTCAAAATTTCCATGATAGACAGCAAATTCGCATGTGAAAAATGTGTTCACAATATTGCATGAACATGAAAAAATTTCTTGCAAAAACTGTATTTATACAAATTAATATCGATATGATGTTGCACTACAATGTATTAACACGATGAAAATGTTATAAAATAATGTGACACACGAGATATTGCCAAAAGGAAATTTTACTTTATTTATGCGTGATTTTGTTTATATTTTTGGTGAGACATGACATATTCTTAAATCTGTAAATGAGAGCTTCGTTTAGTTCTTTGGTAGTGTAAATTGAAAATAATAAATGGTTGGATATTTATAACCATTGCATCAGGGCAGGATAGGTCTAAAATTCTTACGGATCAGTTCTATTGAAGAGAATAATGTAGGCCGTCCTGATTAGCACTCTGTAATAATTGAGTACCAATCAATCTATGTTCAAGAAACATCTATGTTCATAATTGAGAAATTTCCAAAACTATTTTTGTTGTTGTTTCTAATGCCACTTGCCACACTAGCAAGCCTGTAAGGTGAAACCGAGCAAATTTAAGGCAGAGGGTGCGTTTCTTGTTTTTTCAGTGGCGCCATCTATGGCCAAGAATTCGTCTTAAGCCACACACACGTCACACCCGTTAATAGGGCGGACCCATTCATACATCCATTCATTCATCCACAGATCGTAATTTTTGACCTGGATCAGAGAACGATCGATCTCCAATCCAGTACCTCCAGAGGTACTGATTTGCTATCGAAACCTGGAGGACTTTGTGACTCGACAGATTCAACGTGCATCAGTCACCATTTTACTACTCGGGGAGTCTTCGGCCGGCGGGGTCTGAACCCATGAACTCTCGGACATGGGCCCAGCGCCGTACCGACAAGACTATCCAGGTCTGGTATAGGTGTATATTTTTGAACCATTTTTGATATAGGTATATGCTATACGTTACAACTTCTAACTTGCAGTTTGCCAGATTCTTTTTATGAAATGTATTTGCAAATTATTCTTGAGTATCTACGTAACTAGAGAAATCTATAATGAAAAATCTGACTTAATTTTATGTTAAAAGTCTTTATGAAAAATAATTCTTTATTTGTATTAATTTCAGGTCTTCATCCACCAGAACTATATCAGGAATTTGGTATTTTTTTACATTGATCATGATTTCGTCTTACACTGCCAACTTAGCTGCATTTCTAACTGTAGAAAGAGTTGTCTATCCCATTGAATCCTACAAAGATTTAATAAAACAAACTAAAATTAAATACGGTTGCTTAGAAAGTGGATCAACGCGAACCTTTTTTCAGGTAAGTTAGCTACAGTCGATTTTTTATACTTCTTTGACTCAATTATTTGAGTTACTGAAACTTTGAATTAAATGGAAATTGATATCATGGATTTGTCTCACTCAAGCCTGAAATATTTTTTGTTTGTAACCATATCAGAAATAATTTAGTAACTAATGTGGCTACAGCAAATTCATTAAAAATTCTTTCAATTTCATCAATTAAATTTAATTTATATTTATAAAAAAAACGAGTATAATTTTTTATTATCCCTTTGAAGTGGAAAAGACTTTGAATATGATTTTTCACATTGCTTTTGCCTATGTTAAAAAAAAACAAACATTAAGTAATATAGAACATTCTATTATTCTTTAGTATAAGCTTAAGGTTTTGGTAATATGGTAAAAGAAGGTTTTTAAAATTTAACTTCTGAACACCAAATTTAAGGATTGTTTAGGTACACTTATAGCTCTTGTAGGTACAGATGCAAGGTGTGACCGGAAATTGGACGATTCGGCGTCAGTGCTTGTTTTGTTTTTAACTGAAAGGAGGAAGGACTATGCTTGAGCCATACTTTAGAAAACTAAAAAAATATTTTTAATTGCAATGAGCAGTAAACGAGAGCGAGAGCGTCTTTTGTGATGGCATTTTATAGAAGTGGCAACAGTTCTTTGGAAGATGCTGTAGCTTGATATGGGCGATAATAATAGAAGACATGCCGAGGGCGTAGGATGGATAGCGGGTACCTAAAAGACTTTATTTTTGGGAAATAATTTTTTTTTCTGCTTGAATAATAAATCGAAAAATGTTTGCTGTATTTAAAGCACGTAAATAAGTAAGGTAGGAATAGCCTGGTTAGTCGGGAGTTGGGCCCATGTCCAAGAGTTCGTGAGTTCGATATCCGCCGGCCAAAGACTCTCCGTGTAGTAAATGGTGACTGGTGCACGTTAAATCTGTCAAGTCACAAACTCCTTCATGTTCCCATAACAAATGATACCTCTGAGGGTACTGAATTAGAGTTTGACTGTTCTCCGGTTTAGATAAAAATTACGATCTGAGGATGAATGAATGGATGTATGAAAGGGTTCACCCAATGAACGGTCTGTGACGTGTGTGTGGCTGAAGTCGAATTTTTGAAAATAGATTGCACCACTGAAAAACAAGAAACACTCCCTCTGCCTTAAATTCACTTTGCTTCACTAAGGCTTGTTGGTATTGGCAAGTAGCATTAGAAACAATAACAACAAAGTAAGTAAAGTTAACCAACAAAGCCGATTCACTACCACACCTTATAGAAATGAGTATTGTAATATTGAACGTAGCAGAAAGTTGCATTTTATTGCAACAGTATTTAAACGAGTCATTAAAATCAAATCTGCAACGAATAGGGAAAAGAATTACCAAGTTATTACATTGTGAATTCCCACTTCCTTACTTCCGTCAGTTTCTTTATCTGCATCTAAGAATTTGCTTCATTTTACATGTTCTTATTTTAAAAATTACCTTTGAAATAGAGATTTTGTTCATAAGATATTACGAATTAAAATTAAAAAAAAGTAGAGGAAGAAATAAAATTAATAACGAAGTATTAACGTTGAGGTAACTGAAAAAATTCAGGAGAAAGAGTTACAATTTGGAATTATCTAATAAGAAAGTCCCTGAAGTGTCTCGCGAATTGTGCAGACTTTAATAATACAGTTTTCCTTTGTTTTAAATAAATGAATCAATAACTGTATATTTTGCTTTTATATCGATGATATAAATTATTAATTATCAAGGCACGAAAAAATATTTCGCTAAATGCTCGGTAATGGAGTTAATGTGCATAGAGTTAATAATGCAGTAGGAAAAATAAATTTCAAGATTTTTAAAAATACATTAAATATCAAATTTTAAATAAAATCTTGGCTCGTTTTAGAAATTTTAAATTAGAATATTTCATTTAAATGTAATTTGAAAGCTTACAGTTTTGATTCAATACAAGTGTAAAAGCTTACAAATTTAATAAAGTGAGTATTTCTACTGAATATTACTGTCGAACTTTCAGAGTTCTTCTATTCCGACCTTTCATAAAATGTGGGAGTACATGAGCGCCAATAAAGAAGTTCTGATGAAGAGCAACGAGGCAGGCAAGGAGAGAGTTTATGAGGGAAATTATGCTTATCTCATGGAGGCAGCCTCTATTCAATACCTGACCGAGAGGGAGTGTAACCTCACACAGATCGGAGGCTTGTTAGATCACAAGAGTTATGGTATAGCTACAAAGAAAGGTAGTTTAGTGTCACTGTCACCAACTAGACATCTTTATCAGAATAAAGTTCTGTGTTGACTGTGTTTGTATTGTGTCATTCCTGGTATGGCTTATATGTGTTTAAGAAATTAGGTAATTAAATTGAGATAAAAAAGTCGCGTGTTTAAAATTGGATTTCTCATGAACTATTTGATAGATTTCACCCCAATTTTGTAATTCGCCATGAAAATCTAAATTCTTTAAAATGACTTAAAAAGTTGTATACCCTACAATTCAAAATGTTTTCGATTATTATTAAAAAAAATAGTATAAAATAATAAATATTTACCGAAAGTAAATTTTTGCATGGAATTAACTTTGGATAAGCGAATTTTATAATTGTGTGCAAAAATTTAAGTCACTTAAAAAATAATTTTTTATTTTGTCAAAAAAACTTTAAAATGATATTAAAAATTGAATGCCTTACAATTCGAAAGTTTTTTGACAGTAATTTTTGAAAAATTTAAGAATCTGTACTAAAAGTTATTTTTTGAACAGAATTATATTTGGATAAACTGATTTTATAAATGCATGAAATTTTTTTTAATTCACTTCCGAGGGTCCAAATTTTAGATCATTCTCTTGACCAAATTAAGGGGATGACCAAATTATGACCAGACTAAATAACCAAACTATTTCTCAACACACTGCTACCCACTAGATTTTGGGGGTTAGAATTTTGAAACCGTCTAAAAATATGTATGTTTATTCAGAAAAAATACGCTTTTGTGTCTGATTTCTAACTTAAAATATCTTTTGCACTAATCAAATAGCATATTTGAAGTAGCCCCCTTGAAACATTGAGTCCTTGCCAGTGAAAATCTGATTGATAGATCAAAAGTTATTCAGGGTATTCCGTTTTTTTTCGAGAACTGTATAAATAAAATTTTTATAGGTTTTATATAAAACATAACTGTTGGTTATCTTTTTATGTAATATTCTATGTAAATTCTATATTTATTTTGAGGATTCGTGTTAAGTATTAATTACAAAAACGTAATTCATATATTCTAGTCAATTACTTACTGCTTCAGCGATTACAGGTTTGCAAAGATGGGCAGAGGTAATTGGACGCTTGGAGCTAACTTCAAGGTTAGAGGTTAGGTTAAATATTCAAAATAGGATAAAAAGATAGTAGGTTTAAGACACAACCTAACCACAAGAGTAGAATTGGGATAAATTTTAAATCCGAATTTTAAATTACTTTTTGAATAATAAGTAAATGTCAAGTTTTATAAGCGAAAACAATAGTATTTGAAAAAACTTATATTAACTGTTTTTATAAAATCAAACATATTGAGAGTATAAAAAACTTCATTATTAAATTTATCTTATCTAAAAAACATCTAATTCAAACAGAAATTAAATTCAAGTGCAGTGTCATTGAATGTAGAGTGGTTGCTCATTTTGGCTAGATGCCTCGGATAACATCCCTTGTGCCTTTCTGTTTGTACACTGCTGTAAATTTGTCTTTCCAATGTTTTTTTTGCAGCTTAATAAATGCTTAGTATTTCAGATTTGCTTTTGAAATGTTATTAGCTAATGGGACCCTTTCTTTCCTCGACAGCCTTGTCCTAAGTGTTGTGTTTTCATGCACCTCATATTGTATTTAACATTCAACTAGCATCCAGAACCATTAATTTATACATGGGTGTGACAGTCAAAAGGGGTGAAACCTGATTTATAACATGTTTGTTTAGTTACTAATTATAAATAAAAGTAATATATATAGATGAATGAATGGATGTATNATATATATATATATATATATATTTGAACTTTAGATATATTTGATAAAGCGATTATTTAATTAATTATTATGCTGCTAATTGAAGCAAAGAAAGTTTTCACTAATATTCCCACAAGTAGTTTTGTAAATATTTTTGGATAAATGTTTTCAAAATAAATTTAGATGATACGAAAGAATTCAGAAGTTTGCAGTTCACACACTTATTGGCTCGAGAATACTATTTTAGATAAAATATTTAATAGTAAAACAGAATTTTCCAATACTTTCCGAAAACATTTGGGTGCACATGGGTGCAAAAGTTTTTAATTTTTAAAATGTTTTGAAAAAAGTAATTTTTTATTAACAAAATTTATTCAGAATCCACTACTTTAACTAAAATACCTTAATTAAACAATTTAAAACTAGTTTATCCGTTCCCTAAATATAAAGTTCTTTTGTCATGCGTGGCTAACAGAACTTCCCAATTATGACCTGTTTAGAAGCACACGAGGAAAAAGTTCATAATAGGTGAGTGGCTCTAGCGGCGTAATTCGACATTTTTAGGAATGGGTTTCTAATCAAACCTCTTTGTTATCGAAATGAAAGATTCAGAAAAGGTCAACATTTCGAAATGGAAATGATAGTGTGATCTTCCTCATTAAGATTTTACCTTTTCTGACTACTAGGAAAAGTTAAATTCTCTGAGTGCAAATCTGGCATAAAAATTTTATCACTGGCTTAAACGTTTTGATACTCTATTATAAATCAAAAACGTCTTTTGTAACAGATAATCGAAGCATTTTGATTGAGCATTTTTGGTAGAGTTGGTAAAATAGTGTTGGTGACTTTTTAATAGTTGTGTATCAAAAATTTCATATTTCAAATTTCATATTCATATTTTCAGGAAATGGATCTTTAAGTGCATGGCTTTCCGGTGGTATACTGAAGTTGCAAGAAGAAGGAGTTCTTCACACTCTTGAAGAACGTTGGTGGAAAGAAAAAAGAGGTGGAGGCCAGTGTGTTGTGAAACCATCTGGTTCTGTTCGAGAGTTGGGACTTAGCAATGTTGGTGGTGTCTTTGTTGTGTTGTTAGCCGGGGGTATGCTAGCTGCTGCTGTTGCTACTCTAGAATTTTTGTGGAAATTTAGAAAATTTTCATCTTCGCAGGTAAAGATTTTTGTTTATATACATTTTCAATATTGCATGTCTTTTAGAAATTGAAAAAATAACTGAAAAAATTAATTCAGTTTCATAAGAATCAGTGATTTTTAAAAATCTTTAAACGCTCATAATTTTATGTTTTATTTATGGTTTTTATGCATTTATTATTATTTTTTTGGATAAATTTTTCATGGCTTAATGTAATGAAAATTATCTTCTCTTTCAGCATTATCTCTATAATATTTATACGTTATACACTGAGAAAAAGTATGATCAAAACTACCAGAATAAAGTAAAATTTATTTTGTTTTTTTATCTATCTGTAAGAACACCAAAAAGCACAGTAATTTTTACCGATTCGCTTTGGTAATGGTTTTGGAAAATTAACACTAAAATATTGCTTTATTATATGCGTTAAAATCCGATAAATATGGTAAAATTTGGTAATTTTGTAATACCTTAGAGCATGGCAACCCTTTATTATTAATAAAATTTACTTACTTAATTAATTTAAATAATCACGGTTAAATTTACTTTTCAGTTTTCTATTTTTAATAAATGTGTGGTAATAAAATGGTAATTTCGAAAACCAGAATTTTTAGTTAGCCGTTAATATATAAATGATTTAAATACTGAATATTTTGGCTTTATTTCCAGCATTATGTTGTTTTTTTTTACCGGAAATGTATTTACTATAAAGTAATGGAATTTTCCGGAATTGCTTCTTTCTTGTAAATAAGGATACGTCCAAGAAAATTTTAATGTGTATTATGTTTAATATGCAAATTAAAACATTTTTGAGAGGAAACCTTGCAAATGTCAGGTCTGCTAAAAGGGTAAGGTGAATGCATTTTAACGATCGAAAGTTTAGGAAGCTTAATAATTCTATAACAAAAAGCTATTAAATTCTAGTTGATATTGACAAAACAAATAATAAATTAAATTATCCACATGAAAAAAGATTCGTACAACTAATCATGGTAACAGACATGACTTATTAAAACAGTACTTAGCACTAAAAAGCTGCTGTTTCATTTACTAAGCATGGGACACTCGAAATAACGGCTATTATTTTTTTCTGAGGTAAAAAATGAATTAATAATTTCAATAATTAAATTGATTAGAATTGTGTAATTTAAAATAATGTAAATAATTGTTTAGTAACTGACGTGGCAACCGTTTCCGGAATCGTGGTAATTTGTTATGCGAAAACTTATTATTTTTCAAAATTGTTTTTATAACTTCTTTAGAATGTAATTTACAGTATTTATCAGTATTGCCAAACTTTAATACCCCAGGGCAGAATATTTCAAAGAAAACATCTTAAGTCTTATGTTTAAGGCAGCTGCATTTTCAGTTCCTCTCTAATTAATTTCCTTAAAATATTTTTCTTTCTTGATTAATTTTTGATGAATTTATTTTTTTTGTATTTGAAAATTTTTGTCAACGCTCATATAATAAGAAATAATCAGACAAGCTAAACATCTTCTAGAAAGAAAATGTTTTTCTGGAGTACAACAAATAGCACCAAATTATGAAAATGACTTTTTGTGTGTTTAAGCATTAAAACATATTGACAAGTAATGAAATTGAAAGTAATAGCCAATAAATTTATTAAACTCATTTTTCTAAAATTACCGAACAAATATTTGTTAAGAACTAATTTTCTTTGAGAGAGGGATGTTTTAAATTCACTTAAGTGGTAAGGTGTTTGAAAGTCTATGTAATTTTTCTCAAATTTTATTAACAATGAACAGAGGGATCATTATAAAGGATTTTGATAAGCGATGTTTATATTTTTACTCCGTGTTCGTGCCTTAGATGGCATTTTTGCGCATTGTTGAACTTTTTTTCCTTCATATTTCATATTTTTAAATATTTTTTTTATATTCTAGGGAATTTTTCTACATTTCAGCTTTTTCCCTTATTTATATGAAAGTTATTTAAAAGTTTTGTCGGTTATATTTCAATTTTTAATATCTCCTATAAATTAATATTGTTAATTTTGACCATTTTACATTTCTTTCGAACTCTAATAAAAACTGTATCTCAACTTCTCCTAATATGATTATAGTATGTATTGTATTTCATTGAGTATTGTGTTTTCGCCTTATGTAATATATTATGCATATACATTTCATATAAATTTCTGAAATCAATATTGGTTCAGATTGAGATTCTTAGATTGAAATGAACTAACTCTTGAAATTTAAATTGAATTTAGATTGAATCCTAAGCAATATTGGATTTGGAAGGTATTGGAAATTTAGATTGAAATTGGGACAATCTAATTCTGCTTAAAGGGACATTCTGCTTAATGGGACATTCTCGCCTTTTAAGAGCAGTTTGAAGAATTTTTTGATTCATAAAAATCCTGTCTTTACTAATCAATGTTAAGCCTCTTACTACGAAAGCCAGCAGTTAACAAAATCAATATAGGTTAATCAGTTTATGCATTATACATTTTCCATGAATTTAAAAACACATTATGCATAAATATTTCAATACATTTCTAAAGGTTTAAAGCATGAAGCAAACCAAACATAAGCAAGCTGAAGAGATTACAACTTGTTTTTGTTTAAATCAGTTATAAATACAAAATTTAAAATAATTTAAGTAGTAACAGTATTTGGAAGAGTAACATTTCATAAGAATATTCGAAATGATACAATATTTAATGCAGAGTAATTTAGCAAAGTGGTTACAAACTTGGAGGCAAAGTAGGGAACATCATAAAGATTGAGAATGACATAGCAAGCCCATGGTCTGAAAGATCCTCACATACCGCTAGAGGGCTTTCCTATAACATACAGTCTACTCGTGTGCATTTAAATTATCCCAAACTTTGGTTTTTAGTGATTATATTCGGAAATTGTATTGAAAGGAGCCAAGAAGTAGCTGTTTTAGAATAAGTTACTCATTTGGTTAACAAAATGGCTCCCCCTACAAGTTAGTCACAAAATGAATGGTAGATAGGTTAAGTTAAGTTCTTATCTTAAGTTCTTATCTTAAGTTCTTTTTTATATATCTGCACCGTTAGAAATTCCTGTTCTTTTTACAGACTTCCTTTGTATATTTGACGGTTTAAAGCTGTTTCATTGACAAAATGTTTTTTTTTATGTTTATCATTTTAACAGGATTTAAACCGTCAGTTTAAATTATTACCATGCAGTAACCGTTCGATACCTCTTCTTGAAATAATTTTACGATTATTTTCTATAATTGCTCTTACTTTTCAACAGTTATTTTATGGTATTGAAGATAATATAAATAAAACTGTGATTCTATTTTATTGTCAAATTGATATTCTACCTGATTATTGTATTTTTTTAATATATAAGTTAAGATTGCCAGACATTTTTACATGGGTGGGTTTTTATATTTTCAAATCTTTTTATCTTAAAGGTCTTAAATATTAAGACTTTTAGGATTTTTTTTACGGAGATACTAGAGCTGCGGAAGCTCAGAGTCAGAGCGCTCGCCTCCTAAAGAGATGACCCTAGTTCAAAACCTCCATTTGAGCAGCCGTACTAATGCTTCTTGCACCAACCACTATGCTACATAATTATTTTCTCATTTTTGCTGTTGTTGAAATAACAGAGTTTGTTTGTAAACATAATAGTCCTTGTCTGTTTAAGAGATAGGCTTCTGTTTTTAAACAATAGTATTTTTCTGTGAAGTAACAGTTTTATGCTGGCACATCAGCTGACAGTTTTTTTCCTTATATTTAACAGATTTTTTTTTACAGTGCGTGAATTAGAAAATTAACTACGAGTGCAATTTTCCGCCAACTGTCAGTGTAATTTTGGGCAAAAAATGTTTATTATTTAGAAAAATGAAAATACCAATTAAAGTGAGCACTAACAGCGGATCTTTAATGGGAAAAAGCCCCCAGAAGCGTACGATATTTATGGCTTCAGTTTGAAAAGCAATTCTTAATTCATATGATATATCTTACCTCTGTATCAAATTTGAGACCAATTCAGTGAGTCGCTCTATAGAATACTATAACTGATTCATCATACGCAGTTATTCAGTAAAATAAACAGTTTTATACTGGCACACTAGTTGACAGTTTTTTTCCTTATATTTAACAGATTTTTTTTTTACAGTGCGTGAATTAGAAAATTAACTACGAGTGCAATTTTCCACCAACTGTCAGTGTAATTCAGGGCAAAAAATGTTCATTATTTAGAAAAATGAAAATACGAATTAAAGTGAGCACTAACAGCGGATCTTTAATGGGAAAAAGCCCCCAGAAGCGTACGATATTTATGGCTTCAGTTTGAAAAGCAATTCTTAATTCATATGATATATCTTACCTCTGTATCAAATTTGAGACCAATTCAGTGAGTCGCTCTATAGAATACTATAACTGATTCATTATACGCAGTTATTCAGTAAAATAAACAGTTTTATACTGGCACACTAGTTGACAGTTTTTTCAGTATATTTAACAGATTTTTTAACAGGTTGTAAAAAGACAATTAACTACTGGTGCAATTTTTGACCAACTATCAGTGTAATTTTAGGCAACAAATGTTTATAATTTAGAAAAATGAAAATATCAATTAAAGTGAGCACGAACAGTGGATCTCTAATGGGAAAAAGCCCTCAGAAGAGTACAATATATATGGCTTCAGTTTGCAAAGCAGTTCTTAATTCATTTGATATACCCTACATTTTTTATCAAATTTGAGACCACTGTACTGAATTGTTCTATATAATACAATAACTAAGTCATCATACGCATTTATTTTTTTCTTATAGGAAGATATTAGGAAAGTCATGATCAAAGATGTGAAGTTTGCTCTTACATGTAGTAGTTCTGTAAAAGAATTGCCAATGTATAAGAAGAAAAGTTCTGAAAATAGCCAATTCAAAAAAGAACATGTTACCGGCTCCAAGTTCGAATACTCTGATTTTTCTAATAAAGAATGATGACTCTTCCCCTCTGTTGAAAAAGTATTTATCCCTCGGGGTCCAAGGACTGGAGAATTTTTTTTATAAATATTCTTTCTTTAAAGGAAATTATTGAAAAATATGAGAAATTTCTTTCTCTGCCACTTAAAAAAATAAATAAATCGTGTATTGCGTAAAAAATCATTATAAAATTTAGCTTGGAATTTGTTATTATGAGATATAAAAATGTGATTTTTGAAATAGAGTTGTTGAAAATTAATAACAGCATGACCTGTTTTTTGTTTTCGATTATTTTTCAAAATTCAATAAAAATGATAACGAAAATTTTTTTTTATACGAAGTAGAAATTGGTTGTAATCACAGTAAATATGTTTTTAAAACAAAAACAAACGTAATTTTCAATATTTCTTTTGTAATTTTCAAAAACTATTTTGAGTGTTATATTTTAATATGAAAAAATACTCAATAAAGAAAAAGTAATTAGTAGAAGTAAAGTTAAATGCATGAACCCAAGGAACCCACGGCTCCCTTCTGGAGTGGTTCTAAAAACAAATCACAAGCTAACAGAAAATAATTTCTCTCCATTCATATCCTACATTTTTTTAAGATTTCAATTCTCTAAAATTTTAACAATAAAGGCACTCATGAAGCATATAATTTTTGCAATGTAATATTATTCTTATTTTTAAAATGAGACTATAACGCAGTGTTTAGCTAAGTCAAGATTTAAAATATAAATCTTTTTTATTATTTATTACATTATTTTTTAATTCTGAATTTTTTTTAATAATTACATTATTAGAATTGTAACAGTACATATTTCTTGAATCTCATATAATAAAAGATAACATTGCCTCCATAAATTTTATAAGCCCTTTTTGAATTAAGCCCTTTTTGAATGTATGAAAACTATTGTTTTGTTTTACAAAACAATAGTTTTCATACATTCAATTTGCATAATTACATTTTTTAGTATTGTATTAATGCATGAAGAATGACTTTTAGATAGAATTATATGTTGCATGTATATTTTTGGGTGAAAATAACTCTTCGGTAATTATTTTTTTTTATACCACATACCATTTTCAATAAGATTCATAAAATTTGGCTAGGCGACTTACCACATTTCAACATCAAACAATAACAACTTACAAGTAAAGGAAAAGCGCTCTAATCAAGAGTGCGATGATAGCATATTTGGCGTTTTTGACAAAAAACGTCTATTTTCCCCAAGTATGAAGGTTCCAGATGCCTTAGGAAGCGAAATATCCTAGAATTCGCAAAGAAACTTAGGAAAGGCACAATGACTGTTCTATACAGAATCACATAGTTCACCTAAAGCACAGAAAAATCATCAAATTTGAATCCCTTATCATCAAATTTGTTGTTCACTGTTATTTTATAAAATATTATTTAAAATCTCGAGTAAGGTTATAATATGGTGACAAAAAAAATTAATGTTGCTCTTTTTATGCCTATTAAATCGTAGTATAATAGGCATTATACTATGATACGGGATATTACTTTTGAGTGAATCCAACACATGTGTGTGCAATATTTCTTGCAGGTTATATCCTAAATTTTCATCGAGTTGGTGATTTTATGTTATAGAATTGTATAGAGACTGATGAATTGTATGAAGATAAGTTAATAAAATCTATTTTAAATATACCAAGTTGTTCAGAAAATTGCCTTTACTTTTATTATTTTTTTTAATTAAAAAAGCTTGAATGATTTATTTGTAGTATCTTTTCAAGCGAAGACTGATTTTGTGACTTAAGTACCTTATACTAGCATGTCCTACGCACTCAGAAATGAAACTCTGTTTTTTTAAACATTCAGCTATCCTTGAACTATATTTCATCAATTTTGAGAATGATTTGTCACGAAAAGCGAACTCTCAAATATATGACGAAAATGTTTCCTCAACTCGAAACCTTATCGTAGTGCATTGTGGGATTTCTTAATAAGAATGACTAAACTTGAATGAGGACTAAACGATCTAAAATAAAGTAACGACGTAAGACGATATGGTGGTCAGGGAGTTGGCCTCGTAAAGGAAAGATCCCGGGAATTAAATTGTGCTTCAAGCTTGGGTGTAATTTATCTCTCTGTTTTGTTTGTTATTCCTAAATTGTTAAGGCGATATTAAAAAAGCTGGATATTTCGCTACGAGTTTGTTTTGGGGGTAAAAAAGAGAATGACAAAATATTACTTTAATTTTGAAAAAATTCGTTTACTCGAAGAAGTGACGATAGTTTTTTCATCACTTTGACAAAAAATTCGCTTGTAGCATATATTAGGAAACGATTTCATGAAAAAAGTAGAAAATTTCGTGATATTTGAGTATCCAGCTTTTTAAGTGCAGTTTACGTTTTATGATCTCTCCAATAAACTTTGTTTCCTAATCACCATCCTAATTTTGACCTAATTCACGTAAGGTCCTTTCTACAAATTTGGAATTTTTGTGCAGAATGAAGTAAAATGATTTATGATTAGTGATCTTACATTATTATTTAATAAAAAGTGAAAAATTACAAATGTTATCAAAATTTGACAAATCATTATCGAGATTAATTGCGAATGATGCGTAGAATGAAACTGGAAGTCACATCTTGCAGTTGCAACTATTTTCATTTCTCCAATTTTCAGTTTCGTCCAACAACAATAGTGGTCTGGATGCTTTTAAATCTGTTTTTATTATAGACAATTTTGATAATGATTCGTAAGCAGTTTTTACCTCTTTCTTCACAAGATTTAATTTATAAAATGATGAGATTTTGTATAATTTTCTCTTATTACTCGTTGCTTTGCTTTGTCTTTTGAACAAATAAATAAAAATTCAGAGGATTAGTAAGATTAAAAAAGGATTCAAAAACGGATGATTCAATATTTAATTATATTAAGCCTTCAAACTTTTCATTCAATTGAGGAAAGAAAAAGGACTATAATATAAATATTTAAAATAATATAAATGATAAAAAGGACTATAATATAATATAAATATTTAATTATAGGCAAAAATATTTAATATTTAGCGAAAAACTACGATTTTATTTTTTCTCAGAAGCATTGCATTACAAATTTTTGTTATAAAACGAGGTGACAAAATGCAAAAATTCTTGCATTTTAAAAATGTAAAAATTCTTGCGTAATAAGCCGTCATCTTCCTCGCTGCATCAAATATTCTTAACTTAGGCGTCATGTTATACTACAGTCGAGAGAGGTTAACAAAAATAAACTCTACACCCAAACCTCTTGACACTACTCTTTTGCATGTGTGGTTTGACAATATTCTGCGTGGGCGTTAAATGCGGGGAAGAGAAAGCACCTGGAAAAAAAAATAGATGGGGGATTTTGCGGTGTTTCCTGCTATTAGTACTTTGTTGATTTTGGCAAGGTAAGTTCTGAGAATAATCTTCAGATATGCATCGTCATTGGCATAGTCAGTGAATGGATTCTCATCAAAGAGGTGTGAGTGTGTTGAATAAAAAGTAGGATATGCTCGTAAGACGCGATGAACCTTATTGGCATTGTTCTTGGCGCAGTTTTTTTGTTTGCTCTTGAATCTACGGCCTTGCCAGCTGTCATAAAGCTTGGTGAGTAAGACAAGGGAAGTTTAATGATATATCTTTTTTTATTCATTTTAAATTTTTTAATTAAGACTTTAATAAGCGTTTTTGATATTTGGGAGGAGAATTTTTTTAATTATATTGATAATTGATATGATATTAATGACTAAATATTAGGGACTTGATTAAAATCATTTCTAATTACTGGTTCTTACTTATTTTACTTCCTGGATATTTCATTTCCGGTCAAATAGAAAGTAGCTATATTAAGAGAGTTCGGGACAGATTTTGTCAAATTTTTGAGATTTTTAAAAAATTCAAATAATCTTCTTTCAAAAAAATTTTTTTTTACCTTGATTAAAATGCTTAAGAAGACTATGTTTCGATTCCCCCCATATTTAATTTAAAGTGAAGTTAGAATTTTGAAAACCTTTTTCTTCGAGAACATTTCTCCATGCTTTATTCGAAATTAAAACAATTTAACCCAAAACTTATCAAGGAATATAGAGCAAAATTTAGATATTTGTATTTTTGTCTTAGGGAAATTTATAAAAATATTTTATATTTCGTTTTAAATTTTGTTTTAAATATAAAAAGAATTATTTATCCTTTTTCTTCTTATTATTTTTAATTTTAGAAAATTTTGCAGTTTTTCAAACAGTATTAACAGTTAAATTTGGATATTTGAATAAAATAAAAACTTCTTCATTCTGAAGCTTGATTTTTTCACTTATATAAACGTTAGAAATATCAGATTTTTCTATTTTTTTGATTCTTAATATATCAACACAAATATACTATAATACATAAATAATAAAAATTTTTTGAAAATGTGTCCTTGACCAACCTGGAAAAACTACATGCTAATAATAGCATGTATGCTAATAATAAAGACTATATCTAATTTATACTGACAATTTATATTTTATAAATTCTTCCTTCTTAAGATAAGAAAAAAAGTTATAATAAAGGACCCATTTATGTTTTTATGCTGAAAACATCAACAAAAAGGTTGTTTTTTAAATTTTTATTATAGCTTTTTATAAGCGTTATTTATTTTTAAATTATTTTAAAAATATTATCGTTTTTAAATAAATGCAAAGTTTTCAAGCCACTAATAATACGGAAAAGTTGTTTGTCCCATTATTAGACACTGAGAGCATAACATTTAATTAATAAAAAAAATTCTATGCTCTATAAAAATTCTTACGCACAGAGCAAAAAACAAAAACAAAACAAGCATCCTGAATAACTTTTGATTTAATGATCGAATTTTCACTTACATGCTGCTATTTCTCTCTATATGATTCAATTTAAATTGTTCTAGGGCCAAATCTTAAATCTGTTAATTAATTGGTGTAGATGATAGTTTAAGTTACTAAATTGGACACAAAAACATGCTTTTTTTTAAACGGATTTTTATTCAATGGATTCAAGTTTTTGAACCCTGAAAATATAGGAGGGGGGGGAGCGTTTATTTCCAGCTAATGCCTTCTATGTTAATTATAAAAATGGAGATAATGTTAATAAGAAGAATGGCCACAGTTATGTGAAATAAAAAAAGTTTCCTATCCAATATTTTAAAAGTAACTCTACTGCACTATTTGAGATTATACAATATTCGAAAAGTGTGATTTATTACTTAATTTTGATAATTTTTCATTGTAAGTAAAATATATCACCAAATTGCTGTATTTTAAAAAAGTGGTATGGATTTTTAAAAAAAAAATTTGGATGTTAAGCCTCCAATACGCTGCCACTCACCAACTTCGATAATTGTTTCGCAATTATTGTTGTTTCTTAACATAAGGCAGTTACTTTCAACAAAAATGTCCCACAGTGGACTGCTCGTAATACACGGTTTTCAGTAGAACAAATGAGTCAAGTATCACTGTCTGTGGTCAGTGTGCGGGTGGATGACCAGTTTGATCAAGCCACGAAGGGACCTATGATGTGCGGTATCGGTCCTCGTTAAACTGTTATAGCGTAAAGTGCTTGACTACGAGAGTGCTACCGAAAGAGCTACAAGAGGGTGATAGCAAAGAGAAAAAAAAGCTTTAATATTTGCAATTCCTTAAAATAAATATAAATGAATAACTGAAGAGAATAAATAAAATAATAAAAATACTGAAAAAGCAATAAAATGTAATTTATTAAAACTGGTGAGTAACGAAAGGTTTCCAGAATATCAGAAATATCTGAAACAGGACGTTTGAATCCAGCATTCCTTCTCTTGTTATTTCTGCTTCTCTCTTTTAGATATTGAAATTAAAAAAAATTTCTTTTCTACAAATTTGCACAACATTCCAATGTAATTGCAATGTTCCTAATTTTTTATTTGATTAATATTAGGCTGCTAGCATTTGTTCTGTTTTCAAACCTTTTCCTTTCATTAAGGTATAAAATATTTGAAGAGTTTCTAGATTGCACTGTGAGGAAGTAGTTTGCACAGTAGTTTTATTTACTTGTTTACCAAACTTTTACAATCTTAATACAGTATTACATAATAATTAACTGGATCACACTAACAGTGTAATATCAGAAATGGAGTGCTCAAATGGAATCAAAAATGGCTAATTCATTAGAAAATTGTAAGCAATCTCTTGTAAATATTATTAGTAATTTTTGTGTTGAATTCGGCACTTAACACTGATTAAATATAATAATTTAAAATTCACTCATTATATTTATTAATATAATAATAAACTTGTCGCTGGAAATAATAACTAAATAATTCAATAAACTAACAAAAACATATATTTAGCTATTGAAAATTAACAACTGTTATAAAAAAAATAAGAAATTGGATGGAATGTCTGAACCAAAATAGACGAATCGAATTAGTAACGGGGCTAAATTGAGAAGAGAGCGAAAAAATAGATTTTAATTATGAGATTTAACATAAATTACGCGAAAGTACGAACCAGTAATGAACTAACAAATACTCATTTAGGGTTTTAGCAAGTAATTCTTGACTTAAATTACCGAATAAGTTGTTCCTTAATTCTCAATAAGTTTTTCAAATTTATACGATTTTTTAATAGTCTTATATAATTTCTCGAGAATATTGTAAATTGAGCAGTTGCACTTCAAAAAGAAGATCATGGATACCTACACATGTGATCACTGACGTCAGAATGAACTGATCGTTTTTAAGCAAAATGGCGTGATAAATTTAAGAGAAGTTTCTTCACATATTGAATGTTAATTTACGTGAAAGTTAATTAAGTACAGCACCGCATCGCTCATCAAATTTAATGAAATATAATTCTTTCCCGTCTTCGTCTTTTAATTAACTCAGATTTGCTATTTATTCATACATTTAATTGTAACCGTGATATATTTTTGTTTTGTCTACTGGGCAACTTCGATGCATAATTATGTTTTATGTTCTTCATGGCTTCATGCCTGTCTTTGTGTTAAGTAAGAAATATATAGTGAAAGAATTGAAATCGTTGTGTAAGAATATAGAATGAATCACTGAATGAATTGATATTTGACGGCTTGGCTTACTCGAACTAGAATGGAAAGAACAGTTGCTAACGTAATCAAATTACACGTTTTAAAAATCAATCAAGATCGAGATACCCACACTACATCACTTGCAGGTGTCCCATCAACCACATTTTAGAATCAAGTTAAACATTTAAATTGACTGTTGCTGATAGGAAACTGTGCAAAAACTGTTCTTTATCTTATTAATATTACAGATTATACAGAAGTGTTGTATCAAGTTAAATATTTAAATTAGCATTACTAATAAGACGCTAATTAAATCTATTCTTTGACTTATGTTTAGATTAAGTTAACTATTTAAATTAGCTGTTGCAAATAGAAAACTGAATGTAAAAATTATTCCTAGAGAATTCAACCTCAAAAAATGTTTTAATAGATTTACGTGTTATAAAATAATAATTTTTTGGACATTTCTGTGAAATAAACACTTAAAGACCACCACAGCATTTAAAAATTCGTTTCGTTTACGGATGATTAAGGAACAATAAGGAATTTCATACAGATTATTGGAAAGTAATAATATATGAAAAGAGTTAGACAAAAGCATTACTGAATACTCGGGATTATTTCCTTTAATCTTTTCACCCCAGAAAAATATATAAAAAGTTTCCACCCTAATGCTAGAGCACATAAAAAGACGACGCGTTTTTTTCATCAATGTGCACAGAAGTGGCAACAGTTTGGCCCGAACGATTAAAAAAGATTAAAAATCAGTTGGATTGATGCATTGATGAGTTTATCACTTTCTTTAATTATTTTTAAAAATTCTTTATTATCTTTTGGTCATTTGTTTCATTTTAGTTCTATGCAATGCTTCGATGTTAATTCGTTGAAGATGTCGTTTGTAAGTTAATGAAGGTAAAACACATTTTACAAAGTAAACTATGATTTATTTTAAATACTTTAACTTCTCAGCATTTTTCTTGCTCTTATATTTATTTCAATGTTGTATTCAATGCGTATTTACATGGATGATATGCACTATTAAATTTTGTGAAAGCACCTGATGGAAGAATAAATACGGAAAAGCGTTATTAATGTAGATTTTTATTATTTTTTCTGTTCATAGTAGAACATATTATGTGAAAGAAAAGCAATAGACAAAAGTAAATAAAAATATGAAATAAATACTTTTCACTTATCATAGAATTAAAATGTAAAATAAAAAAGTTGGAGGTGACTAAAGAAATTTTTGTTTCCGCATAAATGCACAGTATGAAAATATTTAAAAACACTAACATAAATTCAGTTAATAATTTTTCATTGAAAGAAAACATAAAAACTCAACTTTAAAACAATAAAACACAAAGAATTATTATTCAATCATGTGACAAATGTAATAGTACAAATGTAAATAAAAAATATGACAAACATTGCATAATACATCTTTTTAATTTATTTTATAACCGTCGTTGAACAGTCAACCTAATTTTCGGGTTTACGATTACTAATGTTTAACCACGTAGCAATGTAATTTTGAACCCAATCCCGAAGACTAGAGAACTCCTGGAGCAAGTATTGGGAGAAATTTGTCTTCTTGGAGCACTTTTCGATGGAACTAACCCGCATTTGTAACATGGGGAGGAAGACCACGGGAACCTCTCTGAGGACTCTAACCCATGATCCGTCTACCACTGAGGATATTTCACGTCACCACCGTGGTCGGTGCAAGCCGGATGCGGAATTCGTATCAACCAGCCATTACTGGGTTTCGAACCCAATTCACCTCATTGGAAGGTGAATGCTTTATCCTCTGAGCCATCGCAGCTCATATTATATACCTTAGAGTGTCAGCTATTCCTATCAACTGATTCAATTTATCGTTTCCTTTATGTGTAACTAGAGGGCGTTGTAAGCAATTGGGCCAAGGCAAACTTCAGGAAACGCGTCGTGATGACGATAGAGTACAGAGTCCTAAGGTACTATAGCTCATAATTATCCCTTTCCGTATAGTGGAGTAGTTATCTTCTTGGTGATTTTAAGGCAATTTCGTTTCTTGGTGCTTAATTAGTTACTTGAGCCGAACTCCCGAAAAAATGGCATGTAGTGAAATATAAAATCTTGATATTAGGCAAAACTTTTTTTTGTATAAATTTTGAGAAACTCAATTCGAATTTTGAAGCTTTCTTTTGATTGTTTTCTAAATTATTCCCCCTTTCCAAAATTTTTTATACTGTATAACCTGTAGATTTCGCAGCCACTGCGTAATTATTGATGTGCAATCAGAAAGTTTATGTATGTGGTTCAAAACTTATGGTCGCCGTAAATTCTGTTTAAATCTATTTTCAATTTTTACTGCATTTCATACGCCTTATTTATACACTTTTATCACTTTTTTAAGTATTTATATTTATAATTGAAGTATAATTTCTATTGTAAATAGAGAAATTTATCTTCTGCACACACATTAGAGAAAAATTTGCAACAGTGAGTACGTTTTATAATTTTTTGCTAGAAAATTTTAAACAAGTATATGTTTATAATGAAAATAATATTTTAAACCACATTTTAAAAATAAATCAGGGATTTTTGTAATGTGAAATACACATCTAGGGATTGATTTGGTAGAATGTTTATCCGGGATAACCTCAATTTGCAATTGGTGGTTGGAATCTTAAAATTATAGAGAAAATTCAAATTGATTAGGAAAAAAAACTTTGTTTTGAAATTGCACGAATTAAATTAATAGAGCATCAGAAATTAGTCAAAAGAAGAAAATGAATAAAAATAGGAAGATGAAATTCTGGTTGACATCTGGTTTGAACCTAACAACTTATGAAGACAAGGAGTAGTTCAGGCAAAATGGTTTTTTTCTTAAGAAAGCTCTATTTTTTCTATGTGTATATTTTTAAGGCAAGGCCAGCATTTTGCGGCCAAATTTTTTCCAGGAAAATACTGAAAATTTTTTTAGTTTTTGATAATTACTTTTTTTTAGTTTAAGATGAAAAGTTTCTGATGACATATCTAAAAGAAAATTTTTTACAATACATGTATCTACAATTTGACTACAAAGTAATTAGTCAAAGAATCAAACGTGTATGAGAAAAAAGGGAAAGTATTGGAATGTCTCTCTTAAAAGCAAGTGATACTGATAAATAAAGATTTATATTTCTTTGAAAAAACGGAAAATATCTTACGAAAGTTCCTTTCCCGAAATTTACAACTTCTAAGCATCTTCAGATTTTTTTTTATTTTTAGTTTTCCCAGATAAGTTTTAATATTTAAGCAGCTTTTTAAATTTATTAGAATATGTTGTATTCTTTAGAATATGATTCTGATATTCTGGTCTGAGTGAAAGATTTGTCCTAGAAAATAATAATAAAATGATAGTAAGATAAGTAAATGAGAGTAGAAGTAAAAGGAAATTTTAAATCGAAGCTAAATTTAATTTTGCAATTTTATTATACGTTTTTCCCTTTTCTAATCATTATATCCGAAGTTTCCTTTGTGAAGATTTCACATTCAAATAATTTTCTGAGGATTCCTATAACGACCCCTAATGAGCTACAAATTTTAAGGGAGTTCAGCAGTTACGGATTTAAGAACAGCAGAAGTTCTTCTGCCTTCACACCAATACTGAGCTGTTTTAATACAGATACTGTGGAAATAAATGTCTCACGGCTCTTCGAAGCAGTTATGTGCCGGAAACATTTGCTTGTTAGCTCTAAATTTTGGTTATCATGAGTAGGCCGCGAGCTATAGCATCATGCCAAGTGATGATGAATACAATTTATCTCTATTTTGCTGAGATGAACTACAAACGGCGTGTTTTGTTTAATTTGACAACATAAAACCCCCGGGTAGAGCAGCAAATAATAATAAATAAAGAGAAAAGTAATAAATTTTTTTTAAAGGTTAATTCCTACTTAGGTTAAAAAAGAAAAAAAGTTATTTTAGTTACTTTTTATTCCTATGCAAAATTAAATTCCTAGTGCACTTTAGCATCCAAATAGAGTCTCGGTGCTGCCATCTAGTGTGGCAGAAACTAGACGTCCAAATTGACATGGCCAACGGTATCTCACCCGTTGTGGTGGTCCTAAAAGAGTGGATACCACTTCTGGAGAACGCACTAGGTCTGCTCATCGGGAAGACTGATTGTGCAGCTCATAGGAAATAAAAAAAAAAAAACTTTTTATTGAATAATTGCAATTTTTTTCTCCCATATAAAGCTAAAATTGATTAATTAAATTTAGTTAATAAATTAATATTTGAAAAAACTGTATTAACATCAAATGTCATCCACAACAAATTTAATTAAGCATTTGAACTTCAGTGGATGGATAAAAATATTTTCTTAACGGTTGGAAATTTTAACAAGATATAGGAAGAGAATGAACTAATAGTAGAAATCGAATAATTGGAATTATTTTAGCTTTATTATATGTGTCAGTATAACCCTTTCAGTTTTGCCCATGCTTTCGTAGTATTATTCGGAATTGATTTATTGATTTTTTTCCTTTTTTTTATTCACACCGTATGAAGAACGGAAAATTCAACCAGTTAAAAAAATAAAAATAATTATGATTGACCGTGGTGGCTAGTGAGCGAAGCGAGTCGTGGATCGTTAGATTTCTTTAAAAGGAACCTTCTAGCTCTTATAAGTGGAGTTGGACCATTGTTTAAAAAGGGTCTTTATTTATTTTACGTCTTATTGCGAGCCAATTAGGAAACATAATTTTGAATCGCTCTGTATTTTTTGTTCATATTTTAGGAGGATTATTTGATACTGAGGATGAAGAACAGGAGCTAGCTTTTAAAATTGCAGTAGAAATCTTCAACAACAATACAAAAAGAAGGTCAAGACCCAGACTAGAAGCCCAAGTGAAGAGAATAGCAACCGGTGATATCTTTGATGCAACGCAAAAAGGTAATTGAATGTAACATTCTTAAAGAAAAAGAACGTAAGCCAGCGATTCTCAAATGATGTTCCATGGAACTCTAGGACTCCGCTAAATGGGTTCCGATTATTAGAACTTTTTTAAACAGTTTTTGTTGAAAATTTTTAAAACCTATAATTATATCCAATCAATAATCCATTATTTACTTCATACTACCGTTGCCTTTTCGAAATTATTTAAAGTAAAAAGTCAATAAAAAGATATACCTCATTTTTTTCAATAGAAGAAACTCATAATTTTTGAAATAATAATGGAATAAATTGTGAAAAGATATACATATGTATGATATATTGCCTTATTATTTTCCCCTACCTTTACAAACCCAAAAAAAAAGAATTTTTAATAAGGAAATATGTTTCCTTAATAGCCATTTTCAACGTCGATAAAAATTCCTTTTAGTTTTATTTCAACGGAGATTAGTTTTCATTCCATATTTCAGTTTATTTAGCTTATGTTCATGGACCAAAAACAAATTCAAAACTGGACTAAATTCAGCTCAAGGACTACAAATTCAACTGTCGGTAATTAAACCTCCTTCCTGATTATTAATGATAAAATGAGGAAAAATTTTCATTCTTCTTATTAAATATTTTCAAAATAAAGTCCTCTTTTGTAGGTATAGTCTTTATGTACTTCAATTATAAATCCCGGGTTCCATTAATAGAAGGTTAAAAATTTAGTGTTCCATACTCGAAAAAAATTGAGAACCGTTGACGTTGGTGAAGCTATGCATTCAAACTTGCTAGAGATTCACACAATTCAACAACGATATCGGCATTATTAACCATAATATCTTTCTAGATATTAACTATCTTTCATATAACTCTTTCTCTAACAATTAATTAACAAGAAAATGCAGCAAATGACAGCACCCAGGAACAAAAGAAGAACCAACAAGAAGAAAACTTATAACTTATTAAACGGTATTTATTGCGAATCTCAGTAACACAGACTGTTATTAATAGTCATTCATCAATTAAAAAGAGAAATTACTTCGACGCGATGTTGAAACTTTTTTTTTCTCTCTCGCGTAATTGATATTTAGAGTAAAAGATGCCAAACGTTAAAAACAGCGCCAAACTTTTACGCTTTGAATCAAGAGAGTTTTTATAGTAGGAGAAAATTAAAAAGTCACTAAAAAATGCTTACGCGACTTGAGAAAGAGTTCTGCATGTTTTTAGTGGAATTCCACGTAATCCAAAAATGGCTCTGCATCATATGTTGTTAGGGTCGTTTCGTTGAAGAGAGAAGGAGAGACAAAAAAAAAGAGGTTATTTTTAACTTTAGGGGAGGGTGCAGGTGAAAGTGACTCCCCACAAAATAACCAGATTGAGACTAATTCTGCAATTATACCTGTCGTCATTTAAGGATTATATATATTATTCTTTACAGGATTGGACAAAATAATGAAAACACTTCTATACTAATAAATTTTTTCATATTTGTCCTGAAATACTGAAGAAATCATTTCATAACTTAAGAAGTGTTTAGATCATGCGATTTCTCATACAAATCAATGAAGTTAAAAGCTTTCGGATGCTTGAGGGACCGACAATAAATTAGAAACGAAAAATAATGTTTCTGAACACCCTATGCCAAACAATGTAGCAATGAATTTGAAACTTGTGACAGTTATTTTGATTATTATATGCCACAATTACACGAAATTTCGTAAATGTAGCTTATATATTTATAGAGACATAAACATTTTTATGAAAAAAGGATTTATTTTGCTAAAACTTCAAAAATATTCAATTAAATTTAACAAAATATTAGTGCAATTTAAAATTAATTACAGAGTTTTGGCTTCAAAATTTGAGAAAAAATTCGTCAAAAACTGCACAAGATGTGAGTGGTTAAAGTAGTTCTTTTATATTGCGCATGCGTGGGAAAAATTAAATTTTTCTTCTTCTTAATTTTGTAGTGAAGTGAATCGTATTTGGCAACTAATAAAAAAATTCGATATCTATTCCGCAATTTTCTAAGCAGTTTTCGCTCCTTTTAAAGATTGCTCAAAATGATAAGGGGTTTCCTACATATTTAATTTTGTGCTATTTAGTAAGATTTATCAAAAATGACATCGGCATTTTTGGGGATCATCCCGTAAAAGTATTTCTTTTTTACCTGTTTTCTTTCCTTATTAAATTACATTTTGGTATACGAACGTTTATGTTAAGGCATTATCATTTGTTATTAAATTCTGTCTCATGCTACAAAGTAATATTTGTAAAAAACCCCTCATCATTTTGAGCTTTCTTTTTAAAAAGTACAAAAACAACTTTGAAAATTACTTGGAACTTTTTAAATTTTTAAGATATTCAAATTGGATATCTTTCATTAGTTGCCAAATACGATTCACTGCAAATATAAGAATTTTTTAAAAATTTTTACGCGGTTGCGTAGTATAAGACAATTACTTTAATTACTCATATCTTGGGCAGTTTGAAACGAATTTGTCTCAAATTTTAAAGCAAAATGTTTTTAGTAATTTTAAATTGCTCTAAAAATTTGCTTAATTTTATTGAATAATTTCAACGTTATAGCAAGAAAAAAAACGTAGGACAAAAAAAAAGTTTTTAATAGAAATGTCCATATTTTAATAAATATTTAAGCTAGGCTAACGAAATACTCCCTTTCTACTTTATATGTATGCATTATACATACATTTTTTAATAGCTTGTAGGAAATAAAATTTCGTCAACTTACATTCATACAATAAACAACGAACATACATTTTTAAAGAAATGTAATCCTTTACACCAGTGGTTCTTAACCTTTTTAAGCCGCGACCCAAATTTGAGAAATATGTTCATGTTGCGACTCAAAAAAAAGTCAAAATTAGGCTGAGTAAGCCACAATGACTTCTTCTAGGAGGTGTTGGTAATACTTATTATTTGGTGCATTACTAACTTTTTTGGTTCGACTCAGCGCGACCCAAGAAATATGCTTCGCGACCCAATTTTGGGTCGCGACCCATAGGTTAAGAACCGCTGCTGTATAGGATAATTAAGATTTTACATAGANTTCCCCCAGAATTCTCGAAAATTAGGATTCTTTTTTGCAATGGAAGAAAAAAACTACGGCTTGCATTTTCCGTGAATACAGTACAAAGTAGAAAGCAAAAGTTTCTTTCATACAATAACACTCGAAAAATATTTAAATGCTTATGAGACTTATTAACGGAGTTTTAGAAAAATTAACCATACTTTATGTGTAACAAGTAATAATTAAAAATTGAAGAAATATCAAAGTAATAAATGTAAGAATTAAATAAATTAGCATTTAAGGTCTATTTTTCAATTAATAACAAAATTATTTTAATTTTCGTATTTGTTGTTTTAGGTAGCTTATATTATATTGTAAAATAACATCTTTTGCTGCTATTCTCTTTTATTATATCTGAAAAGAAAAAAAAAGCAGCAAATTTTTATTGATTTTTGCTAAATTTTTCACAAAACTGAGATAATTACCGTATTTGCTTGTTTTGTGATAGTCAACGTTTTATCAGAATGAGAGACAGTAGCAATAAAAACATTCTTGTTTATTCTTAAATTTATAATTAAAATTGTACTTATAACTATATATTTTTATTTTACGGTTATCTACGTTGTATCAAAATTAAGGCAAGTAGCAATACGAGATTCATCGTAAATTGTTAGATTTATTAAGAAATTTTCATTAATTAACGTATTTGTTATTTTACGGTTGCTCAAGTTATATCGAAGTAAAAGATTGATTGTTTATTGTAAGATTTATTAAAAATATTGCACTAATTAATGGATTTAGTATTTTATTCTACCGTGCATTAAATTGATCACGCTATAACAAAATAAAAGAAAGTAACAATATAAACGTTATTGTTAATTGTTAAATTCATTAATAAAATTTCACTACTTATCACATTTATTAGTTTCACGGTATATGAAAATAGGGAAAGCAGAAACGAAAAAAAAAATTGGTCATGCGATTGGATATATTGCGGTTTTTCTGTTTTCTTATTTATATACGATATAAAATAAATGCTACAGTATTTAATTTATGATTATTATGTTTTTGTAATTTGCAATTTATTTTTATGAAATAGTTTGCAGCTTATTAGAAACAGGAGTGGCGGCTATATTTGGACCACAGGATCGCTTAACAAGCCTTCATGTTGCCTCAATTTGTGACGAGTTCGAAGTGCCTCACATCGAGACCAGATGGGATCGCGCACAGAAAAGAGATGATTTGTCAATCAATTTGCACCCTTCACCCAATGTGCTGAGTGATATGTACGTAGCTATGATTAAGCACATGGGGTGGAAGAATTTTACACTTCTTTATGAAGAAAACGAAGGTATGTTTGGCTCCTGTTTTCTATGTTTGTTAAATTTTTTAAAATAAGCAATAAAAGATAATCCTATTGTTCTGTAGTGTATCTACCACTACAAAAATACAATTCCAGTTTCCTAGTGTATAAGACATGTTAACTAGATTCTATGGCGGGGTAACTTTTCATAGATGACGGTTGACACTGTTTATAATTACCATTACCACATTGGTGACCCGGACGTGATGTGAACCCGCCTAAATTGACAGTAACGACCATTTCGATCCGAACACGCCTACTTCGATGGATGCTCCACAGTGAACAGTTGACTTGCTACTTGTAACTGTGACATTATCCACCTACTCGCTCTGTTGCTACTCAGTCTCGATCACACACAGCGTACAATTCACTCGACTGCTAAAGGTAACGCAGGAGTGACCACTACCGTGAACTTAATACAGGTCTCTCGATCAGCATTCAAAAGAACGGTGATCTTAATACAGCTCTCCCGGTTTCTAGCAAAACTGCAACGAATCAACTAGTGGTATCCGTTCATTGAATTCTATCACCGATAAATTCTGGTGGGGGAGTACAGTAGTGTATCTACTACTACAGAAATACAATTTCAATTTCCTCGTGCATAAGACGTGTTAACTAGATTCTATGGTGGTGTACCTTTTCATATATCAGGGTTGACATTGTCGATAACTATTATCCCCACAGTTCTCTAAAGCTTGTCTTTTTAATTACCTCTTATTAATTTCAACCCATTTATGCTTTTTTTTTATTTGTTGCGTCAAATGCATGAAAAATATAGTACTTCAATGTAATATTCAAGCAGCTGTTGTTTCAAAAACTGTTTTTCTTATTTAGCCCTTATGACGCAGATGTACTGTAAAAAGTGGATACTCGAATATCACGAAACATTCGTCGTTTTTGACGAAATCGTTTCCTGGTATATGCTCCGAACGAAAATTTCGTCAAAGTGACGAAATAACTATCGTCATTTCGTCAAGGAAAATTTCACGTCACTTCTTCAGTTTAATTTCGTCAAAATTAATGACATATTTCCTCCTTTTATTTTTTCCAAAAAAAAAAAATAAATAAATAAACTCAACAACAAAAAGTATATAACGTATTTACCTTTTCAAATAATCACTTTATCATGGGGATTACGTAATTAGTATAGTACACCAAGGACAGATAGAACAGAGATTTAAATTACTCCCTTACCTGAAGCGAGGTCCGAAGCTCAGATCCTTCGGGCACCTGGCCAAACCCTTGACCGCCACACTGTCGATCGGCTTAATTTGTCACTTAGTTTTTGATATTCTATTCTTTATTGTAGTTTCATCATGTTAGTTTACAATGTACCACTATGCACTAAGACGAGGTTTCGTGCTAAGGAAACATTTTCGTCATATATTTGAGAGTTCACGTTTTGCCACAAATCACGTGATTTTGTGACAAAATGATTCTCAAAATTAACGAAATGCTGTTCAAGGATAGCTAAATCATCGAAAGGGAAAGTTTCACATCTGAGAATGTGGTGCACTGGTAACCCTTTTATATATTCTATATTTTTTTCTGACTCACAAATAACGAGCAAAAATATATTTCGATATTTTTTATTAATATAAAACAGTATAATAGTTATTAAAAAAATCTGCTAGATTTTCAGAATTATGTCTGAACTTAAATATTAAATCAAAACTAGTTTGAAAATATTTTTTCATACGCATTCAAAAATCTATCAATAATTGATTTTGTAAATTAAAGAAATTTCAATGACGAATAACTTTTCTTTTTAGATCTAAATAACTGTAAGCAGGTGTAAATTTAAAAAAATGAGGGGGAACTGCGTCTGGAAGATATTACTTTTAACGCAGAAAAGACACAAGTGTTTCATGCTGTATTTCATAACCACAAATTACTAAAGTGCTGAATAAAATATTTTTAACTTATTTTGACCTAAATTAATACAAAATAATAAAAAAGAGTATGGAAAATTTGTTTAATATAAATTTCTTGTCTAAAACTTAATTGACCAATTTGCACAATGAATAGTTTAAAAAATTAATCTTTAAAAATTTTTATTTTTGCAATTTCACATTATTTTGTCAGATTCTGATATTTTGCATCACGTCCTAAATTGTAACGAATTTTTTAACTTAAGAAAAATCAAATATTTTAATGCAGGATTTTATTAGCTATACTCCAGTTGGCGTCTTTATATTTAATGTTAATTAGTAAATTAATATAACTTGAGCAACATTCTATAAAAATATGCCTGAATTACTTACATAAAGTATTCAGTAGAAATTAAGTTAAATTATAAAATATAAATAAACATATGCTGCCATCGTGTAGTTATTAAATCTCCTAAAGTTTAAAAAGTCGATGACTTTTACATCAAGAAACTTTGTATTTTAACCTTATATGCATTAACGTGACGAAATTTTTCTTTGAAATTAGTTCACAACATTGTTGAAAATGGTGTCATAGGTTTAAAGATAAATGCAACTTTGAGATATTCAATAAGTTTAAAGTGAAAATACACTGTTAGAATTTCCATTTTAAAATTATTTTAAAATGACAGGCAGAAGACTGTTCTATCCAATTAACCATAAAGTTTACGTTATTGTTACAAATCGTTATTTAACCATTTTTTTTGAAAAATTTCCAACTGCTGACGTCATGCCGTGACTCTAATAATTATGCTAATGCAACGCCGTAATGTATTGCAGTACAGAACCCGTTATCCGGAAATCAGAAAACCGGAAAACCAAAAAACCGGAACGAAATTCGATAAATTTTCCCACCATTACAAAAAAAAAATTTTTTTTCCTTATAAAATTTTAGGATTTTTCGTTCTTTTTTGAAAGATGTTTACCTTACCATCATTGCTCCATCCCTTACCAGTGTATTGCTCCATCGTTTTTTCTTCATTTTAAGATTATTTCCAAAAAAAAATTTTTTTTCGTTGTGTTTAACAATAAAAAAGCGGCTTTTTGTAGCGATTAAGTAAACCGGAAAAATCAGTTATCCGGAATAGCGATGGTCCCGATCGTTCCGGATAATCGGTTCCCTACTGTATTAAATTTTACTATACATTTTTAAACAGTAAAGAAATAAAAGTTTCAGAAAAGTTGTACAAACTACCCATCGTAAATTTGAAGGTACAATTTCTTTATTATTAATTTCAATATGTGATTTTTGTGTTTTCTTTTTAAAGGTTTTTTACGTTTGCAAAATTTCTTGAAAGGGGCACAAGGAAACGATTCTAATGTGCAAATATATAAATTTGAAGAAGACATTCCATATCGTAGCACATTTTGGGAAATAAAAAAGGACATTCAGAAACTGAAATTAAAGAATCAAAAAATCATTTTAGATGTGGGAAGAAAGAATTTATACGATGTTTTAAAGCAAGTAAGTAATGTTCTCCAAAATTATTAGATTACATAAACTAACCAATCCTAATATGAATCCCAATATTGGGTTTTTAGTTCGTTAGAAAAGTGTGATTCCATTTAAAAGTAAACTAACATCATGCCTTTGGTCACGAAAGTATGGAGTCTGAAACTCCACGATATTTTTGCCCTCTTAAATAGCTGTTGCAGGAGGATGTAAGCTTTATAAAAGTATGATTAGTTTGAGTCTTTTACCTTAAGATATTATTTTGCATTAAAATTAAAGAGAACTAACTCGGAATAATAATCCCTTGATATTATGTATTCTTTTCTCACATTTGGTTTAAAACGCTAGCTTTGAAACACATTTGATTAATTACAAGGAACCATTGTGTACCGTTTATTATTTCAAACATCACGAAAATACGATAATAATATGCCTATCCATATATTGTTGTCATTTAAGTGTTTGAATTAAGTATCTAAGCAAACAGAATGGATGATTAAACAGTATTTCTAAGCAATATACAGTATGGAGTATGACATTAACTTTTTTTTATCCCAAAATCAATTTTCTTAAAGTCCTTCCATTTTATTTGAATTGTACAAAACCAAACTCTGTTTCATTAGCGTATTACTTATAAAATAACACAGAAACATTTGAATATAATATTGTTGTAATTAAAAATTATGTTTTTATTTATTTTATCTAGGCCCAACAAGTAGGGATGCTGACTGAAAATGAGCAATATCTCATTACTTGTTTGGTAGGTGTTTTGCAATATTTCTTATTAAAACAGGAGTAACCTAATGTCGTCATTACTCAACAATCAATAGAAAACCTTAATAGAAAAAGATGGTAATTGAATTTTGTGAATTTGAGAGCCCCAACCTAAATATAGCAGTTTTTAAAAACTCTTTACCATATTGTGCTCTAAGCCAAGCAGAATATGTTGATTTTCAATGAACTACTCAGACAAATTGCTTAATTTGTTTTCATGTTATATATATAAACATCAATGCAAACTTTTCTTTCTATCTACAAAAAGTTTTTAAAAAAAATTTAATTAACCGGGAGTTTTATTTTAAAGATAATTTTTAAAATTAAAAATAAATTTTGAGAAATAATTTATTATTTTTTTACAGGATTTGCATACGATTGATCTGTCAGATTTCAAGTATGGGAAGTCCAACTTGACAGGATTCCATTTGATTCAGGATAATAGCAATGATTATCAAAGTCTAGTCCATCGCATGTCTCAGAATCCATATTTCTACCACAGAGGACTGGTATTTGGCATTAGGGCAAGTATTGTGAATCCCCTCTGTTTCAATTTATTTTATTAATGTTAAAATTAGTATAATATAATTTTTTTTGTGTTTTTTATATGTGTTTTAAGGAAGAATGTCATTTGTGTGAATTTATGAGAATTGAAAATCTAATTATCATAATAATAATAATAATAATAGAATAATCATGTAAATTATCCATAAAAACGAAAATAAAGTTTAGTAGTTAACAGGGGCTTTCATATTTAATTAAAAATGTTTAGAACATTTAATGTTTAGAGCATGTTTAGAAATTAATGTTTGGACCTTAAACGTTTAGAACATTTGTGACATGATGCATTTTGTGAAGCATTCGAATACCTATGAAATGAGTACTTAGGCATTGACTGTTAAAGACTAATACAGATTTTTTTTTGCTTTTAATCATTACCTGCGTGCGGCAAAAAATTCTCGCTTGTTTTTTAAACAGATTTTTGTTATATATTTGACAGTTTGAAGTTATTTTTCACAAAAACAGTTTTTCTCTGTTTTTTACTATAATTATAAACGGACAAAAATTGTCAGCTCGAATTCTAGCCTTTGCCATGAAGTCTTATTTTCCGTAAGATAACTTTATTTTTCTTCAAATCCTTTTGCGATTATTTTCCATACTTGCTCTTACTTTTCAGCAATTATTTAATGGCTTTGAACATCATATAAAATAATTTTGATTCGACTTTATTGTCAAATTGATACTCTGCTTGATTATTGTCTTTCTTTAAATATAATTTTTCGGTAAGTTAAATTATGACTATAATTTTAAACGTTTTTTCACTTAAATATGATGTCAATAAAACATCAAAATCCAAATCCCCCGAATCTGACTCAACTAAACTTCCTTTAAAGATAAAGGAAGTTAAAGATTTTTTTTCATAACCAAACCTAACCCCGGCAATGGCTCAGGGGCAGAACACTCTCCTTCAATGAGGTGACCCGGGTTAGAACAGTGGCGTTGACAATAATAGGAATCAGGGGCGGATTCAGAAATTTTTCCTGGGGGGGGGTCATAGACTCAAATCCCCTCCCCACAATAAATTTTTTTTATAAATTTTTTTTAAAAATATTTTTTTTGAAAAAACCTGGGATTTTTAGTGCTAGTTTTCTCATTCATTTTTTTCATAATGAGCAATAGAACAATGCATAAATAATTCAAGTATTCAACATCTTTAAATAATAAATGTAATGCGTTTTTTAGAAGTTTTGGCAAATCTCGGCTTTGGCTCTGGAAAAGAATATCGATTTTTCCGACCTACCTAGGAGTATATGCCCCCTTAAATAATTTGTAAAATATTTTATTTCTTTTGTAAACTATTAAAAAAAATTATTATTATTTATTTTTCCAAAATTTTTTTTTTTTGGGGGGGGGGGGGGTCCGCCACTGATAAGAATGCTACTCTCGTCTCACACTGAACATTATGCTGACTTAGTTACTTTATAGAGATTTTTGTTAAAAGAGCAAAGTGTTTTTGCTAAAATGACGGGTTAGTTAAAATAACTGCACTTACTTACTTAAGAAGCAAGTGTCCATTTATACAGCGAAAAAAATTATTTTTTCTGCAAAATAAGTGGTTTTATACTGGCACACCAGCTAACAGTTTTTTTCTGTAAATTTAGCAGTCTTATTAGTGCACTCTTTCTTGGTTTTGATAAAAATATGTGAGATGATAGAGAAGGTAGAACCCCGAATCTGACGGTTTCTTAACTCAAAATGTTCCTATAGCCCATAAAGATGAAATTGCTTCATGATTGAGGTACCCTGACTAAAATAGCAGAATGAAGTAAGGGAATTCAAAAGTCGTGAGCTTGTCACGTATCCACGTGTGCGTGCGGAAGTGTATCCTAGCCCAACTCAATGCAATGATATTGAAGATTTTGTGTTGTATTAACCCGAGTTTTTTCCTCTTCCATTCTCAAATTGAGGTGAGTAAAGTATGTAGCGAAGACGAGATAGAATCCATAATTTTCCAGTCTCACAGAAGCGCGTTATATTTCTCTGTTAGAGGGGCTCATTGAACTTCAAATGAGTTTACTTTAAAAATCATTACTAGAGTTTTGTCATCAATAGAGTAAAAGCATCAATAGAGTTTTATCATCAATAGAGTAAAAGCATCAATAGAGTTAAAGCATCACTAATATTATTTCTCTTATAATGAATTTATTAAGCAGTCTGTCGAAATCTTAATCTTGCAAAGACTGTTCTTTTTAATATTATGTACTTTTAAAAATTGAATTTAAAATAGTTAATTTTAATATTTTTCTAAACTACTTTTTCTCTCTATGATTACTCGTAGTTAAAATGTTCTCTGAAGAATTTTTTTTTTCATTTTGATTCTCTTCAATTCTATTGAATTCAGATCTATTAGACACTTCTTAATGATTCCTAACGGCTCATTAGGAAATTTAATTCAGTATGTTTTAAAAACGCTTACTATAAAATGACTTTCCAAACTGATGCAATTTTATTTTATAACCGTCGTAGAGCAGCGGACACAATATCTTGGACTTACGACTGGTAATTTTAAACTAAGCAGCCTTGCAATTTTTAAGCCAATCCAGAAGACAAGGGAACTCCTAGATCAACTATTTGTAGAAATTTGTCTTCGCGAAGGACTTTTTGATGGAACTATCCCGAGTTTGCGTTATATGGAGAGGATAAACGCGAAAATCTTCCAGGGTTAACCTGATGGCAAACTCATGATCCGTCATCTAGTGAGGATATTTTGCGTCATCACTGAGACCAGTGCGAGTCGGGTGCGGAATTCGCACCGAACATTCTTTGCTGGGATTCGAACCCTGTTTACCTCATTTTAAGGCGAACGCTCTATCTCCTGAACCACCAAGGATCAAATCAACTTTATGGATTTTTTTAGTAGTTGTCAGAAAAAATATGCTAATTTTAAAGTTTTATGCAGACTGCATCATTGTATATCTGTTTTAGAACCTGCCAAATAAGATAGTCAAATATAACTATTTTGAAATAGATTTAAGCTTGAAATAAAGCAATGATTATCTATACCTGTGGGCTGAGTTTACCAAAAATATCAAGAATTAAATTTAAAATTTTTTTTGCATTATTTCTGTATTTATTGTTTTATTTTGGTAACTTTTGCCTCCTATGCAGAATTCTCAGAGACATTCTAACATCAAACTCAATTTTAAGAAAAATATTCTTTATGTCATAGTATTCATAAATGAAAAATAATTAAAAATGTCATAATTAAAAATGGCAAATGTCAAAATTTTAATTCATAAATAAGAAATGCCATAGTATTCGTAGAGATACATTTGAACTTTGAAAAATAAACCATCATTTTCCCTCCCCTTTCTAATTTTTTTTTTAAAAATTCTTTACGATAACCTGTTTGTAAAGTTTTCTACAATCGCTTTGTTTCAGACAGAAACAGCATTAATGTTCGATGCTGTTAGAATGTTTGTTGTGGCACTGCAAGACTTAGATGTCGGTAAAGAAGTGAAAAATTTTCCTGCTATCTCTTGTAAAAGTGGATTGTCTAAAGGAACTGATGGAACTAGTCTTATCAACTACATGAAATCGGTATTTCTTTATTTAGTTTTCCTTCTGAGAATAAAAAATCAGAATTCTAAATGGATTTGTGTAACTTATTTTTTTACCTTTTTTAACAAAATTTAGTAGATTCTGCCGCAGCGTATATACTGGAGATTAACTGTTATGTGAGGGCGTAAAATGAAGTAATGTTTTAATTGAATTATAATTTAACTGAAATTTAATTGAATTAATAGGTTGTTGTTGTCGACGTATGCCATTAAGGCAGAGGGGGTGCGATTGATCTTGTTTTCCAGTGGCGCCATCTATGGCCAAGAATTCAACTTCTGCCACACCCATACGTCACACCCGTTTATAGGCTGGACCCCTTCATACATCCATTCCCACCCACCCCCAGTTCGACTCAAGCCTCTGCAGAGTGTGGTTGTGTTGAAACTAGCTCTGTGCGCATCATGTCCTATCAACGTTTTTCCCGAGGTGGGAAGCGGCGGACCGAAAGGCCCGTGCAGCGACCCGATCCTAGTGAAGGATTTGCTATGCTGGAAACTGACGAAGAACGATTGGAGCTCTGCTCTACATTTGCTAATCCGTGCCTCACTAAAGGAATCATTGATAGACAAATTGAGATCATTGAAGGATTAATGAAACGACAAATATCAAACGGAGAAAAGCCATCCTTATTACTTGAATTTAAAGTGAAAGCTCTCAACATCAGAAGAAATGAACTATTCCCTGAGGAGTCTGATAAGGAAATCATGCCTATGGAAACAGTCACGCTGAACCAACCAGATAAGCCGAAGGAAGCCTCAGAGATAGTTACTTCTTTCGAAACCAACTCTTCAGTATCGGAAAACAACTCGGAGCTTAGTGAAGCTGCCTCGGCCTCAGAAACTGAGCCCCAGACTCATAACCAGATAGAACAGCCTGCCAAGAGGAGAAAAAGGAAGAAGAAGAAGCAAACTCATGGAATCACTACAAAGACTACTAACAGCCCTTCTACTCCTAAATCCCTCCCAGTGCCTGAGCCCACTACTGACACTACTTTGGAACCCAAGGAAGAACAACCATCCAAGTCTGCTAAGATTCTCATCCGAGGGCTTCCAGTCGACTTCAAAATAGAGGACATTTCTCTAGAAATAGAGAAATCAGGCATCACTTCACATAGGATTATCCAGTTCAAGAAGAGGGTGGGTGGAGCCTATAGGCTCCTCCCCCTTTTTCTCGTCATTACTCCATTGGCCAATCAGCAGAAAGCTCATTCCATCCAGAGTATCATGCAGATTCCTATCTCTACCGAGAAATTTCGTGGCGGCCGCCGGCCCATCCAGTGCTTTAGATGTCAAAGCTACGGACATACTCAGCGCTCCTGTGCCAATCAGCCGAGATGCATGAAATGTGCTGACTTCCACTACTCCTACCAATGTGAAAAAGACAGAAATTCTCCCGCCAAATGCTGTAACTGTGACGGGAACCACACCTCCAATTTCACTGGGTGCGAGGCCCGCCCTAGTGGAAAAAGCCAACAATCCAAGGACACACCTGCATTCACAGCTCATCGCCTGGTCTCACTAGTGAAAGAACTGCAGGAGCTCCTCAAGAATCATGAAGTCACAAGCCTACTTCAATCGCTACTGAATGGGGTCTCCCCATCACAATGATGACTCTCATGCCTCAACTCAAGCCCATCTCCACTGATGTAGCCTCATCCTACTAATATCATCTCATCCTCATTCCAACCACAAAGAATAACCTCATCGACATCATCACAAGATGAAGGGGTAAAGGGCCGTTCCGGCCTCAGGCACCCCGAACAATCTCCTAGATTAGATTAGACATCCATTCATTCATCCACAGATCATAATTTTTACCTGAATCAGAGGACGATCAATCTCCAATTCAGTGCCCCCAGAGGTATTGATTTGTTATGGGAACATGGAAGACTTTGAGACTTGACAGATTTAACATGCGTCAGTCACCATTTACTACACGGGGAGTCTTCGAACCCACGACCACTTGGACATGGGCCCAGTGCCCTACCAACCGGGATATTCCGGCCCCGAATTAATAGGTGAAAGGATTTTTTGCACTGAGGCAAAATAGTTTTTTAAGTCCATATTTTTTATGCTTATACATAGTTTCTTATATTATAAAAAAATTGTGTTCTCATATTGTAATTTATTAGTAACATAATAGCATCAAGCTTATTGATGAGTTTAAAATAATTGAAAGATAAATTAGTTTTTAGCAATAATATGTTTTCTAGCAAATGTTTTCAAAACCAGAGAAACATCCCTAAATCAGACCTATTCTTAGACCAGGGGTTAAGAAATTCAATCACGATTTGGGTCAGTCACTTAACATTCTTAACAGCCTGCCTTTGCGCTACTTTATTTTTCCATATATCACTATTTTGTTATGATAAGTGGAAATATTGTTACACATAGGCATAAAAAAACTATTTGTCTGTGTGCTAAATAATTTCTTCTATCTATCATCATTCTATTATAGGAAAAATGTATCTAGAGAAAATGGAAAATAATTTCTGTTGCTTATTTTTTATTATTAAAATAGCTATGAAATAGATTGTTACATTGTTTAGATAGTTATTTCGAAACAAATTGAGTGACTTGTTTTTCCCAAAATCATAGATTATTATTTCTTTTCATAGAGCTGTGGCTTATATTTATATTTTCTACGCTTTGGTTTATTCTGGAATTCATGTAATAATGCTTTTTTTTTTGTAAGTTCCTAATGCTTAGTTGGTAACAGAAATAGATAGATAGTACTCACTTTTGTTTATTTTTCAAATTTAAAAATGTAAAATTTTCATACTTTTATTGCACTTAATAGTGTAATGTTTACATATAAAGTTATTTTAAACTTTCAATAACTATAACGTTCCCATTAGAGTAAAATGATTGGAACAACTGGAATTATTGCTTTTGATGGACAAGGAATCAGGTCTGCCTTTCAAATGGACCTTATGATTTTACAAGAAAAAGGACTTTTCAAAGTAAGTTTTACTTAAATCAAATGTTTAAATAAACATAAATGCCTAGATTATGTTTTTATGTCAACTACCAATTAATTACCCAATTATTCAGAGTATCCAATTGATATTACAATCACGAACTGTTACTATTTCTTTAAAGTTACTTAAGGAAAAGACTCTTCTAAATTGTATCATCATACTATGGCAGATACTGCTTGGTTTGCTAATTTTTTGAGTCTTATTTGCTCATTCAGCAGTGCTTAAATTGAATTTTTCAATATTATTTACTCACTCATTATTATGCCATTAATATTATATGTCATAAAGCCTATTGCAAAATTACCGAAACAGTTCGCCCTTGTTTATTTGAACAAACTTAAAAGAGCATTTAAAATTTAGTGACGTAATAAAAAATGTCAAAAACTCTCAATATGAAAAAAAAGAGGAATTCCAGAAAAAAATATTCTTAAAATTACATTTAAAAAAATACTTATTGCGTTTAATTAAACTATTATGATAAATAACTCTTGCGATAAACAAACTATTACGATAAATAACTGAACAAATTAATAATATTTTCGTTACTTCAAAAAAAAAAAGATGTACACTGCTAAGTTTTAGTTAAAATTGGTTAAAAAGTGAAAAAAAAAATATAACTTTCGAATGCATGTCTGAGAATTTTTTTCAAAACTGATTTTATTTTAAACTTTTTCAACTACAAGGTCCGGCTATTAATTTCCAGGTCTTTTCGTAGGAGAACGAAAAGCCGGAAGATGGCGCTAATGATTGCATATTAAAGAGTGCTTTCTTGCGCATGTGCAGTGCAATCGGCACCATACTGAAGTAAGTGGTTCTCATAGAAAGGCGCATTAAAACATAGCTCTTAAATTCCTATTGTCGAAGTGAAAATGGAGCAAGAATAAACATTAAATGTTGCTTCAAATTGGGCAAGACAGCTGCAGAAACCTACAAATGATTTAAAGAAGTTTACGGCGAGGAAGCATTATGTCGCTCCAGAACTTTTGAATGGTTTAAACGCTTTTGAGACAGCGCGAAAGCGTGGAAGATGATCCACACACAGGTTGGCCGCAGTCGTTACGCACGCCGGAAGAAATTGAAAAGGTTCGCTTCCACACATTGCGTTGCCTGTGAGGCGATTCTTAGCCCAGCATGGTGTCGTTGAAATGCAGCATCCACCATACTCTCCAGACCTAGCACCCGCAGACTGTTTCCTAAGCTGAAAAATTCTCTGAAGGGGACAAGATTTCAAGATGTCGAAGCCATCAAGAAGACTGTAACGTCACTATTAGAGAGCATTCCAAAAGAGGACTTTAAAACTTCGATCCGAAATTTGCACTGCCGAGCACAGACGTGCGTTATGGCTGATGGGGGTTACTTCGAATAAAATTAAATGGCTATGTGTTTAATTTTATTTTCTTCTGAGTTATTCCATGAGTCCTGGAAATTAATAGCCGGACCTTGTATATCAAAGTTTTTATGTTTAAACATTTAAAAGGGATGTATTTTGCAGTTATTAAAAGTAGAGAAAAAGTTACAAACTACGAAAATGCCATGTTTTTTGGTCAGTCGTTATATTAAAATTTCTAAACCATGGCTATGAATAATTTGAGATGGAAATCATTTCAAAATTATAAAATCTAAATAATTATTTACACAATCTAAATCAAGCTGATAAAAGTTCAAATCAAGGCATTTTAGGTCAATAATTATTTGTTACATTTGTAGTATTTATTTTAAATCATTTACTACAAAATGAATACATATGTCAAATTTTAACGTGTCGCGAAAATGTTAGTACGATGTAATTTTACACTTTACTTTGAAAACTAACTGAACAAATCAAAAAATAGAATAATTGATAATTTCTAATTATTTTCGCAAAATTATATTTTAAATGTTTTTCAAAATCCACTAGTTCTAAACTAAAGTTCTAAACTTCTACTAAATATACTAGTTCTAAACGGTTTTGAAACCGTAATGGTAAAAAATGTTCTTTACTGTAAACTGTATGGTTAATTGAATGAACAAACTGATGCCAGGTTTTTTAACATAATTTTAGAATGGAAACTCTACCAGTATAGTGGTAACAATTTTAGGAAAGTTTAAGTTTTCTTGCAGAGAAATTTTTTATAGTTTCATAGATATTTTTTTTTTCAGTTTGGAGAAATTCTCCCTGGTTTAGCAGTAAATATTACACAAAATGTAGCCACAGAAGAGCCCCTTGAGAATAAAAAATTTACTGTAACTACTATAAAAGTAAGTAAAAATTTAGAAAATGTTTTTGCAAATGTTACACAAAATATTTTTGAAATGACATAAATGGAACTTAAAAAACTAAGTCTTATTTCAGTGAGATTACTTATTTTCCATTGATTATCAGATAATAATATCAATCAATATGGAAGTAGTTCCCCTACTCTAATGACAGATGAAATAAAAGAGCACGACAACTATTAAAAAAAGACCCATCTAAGTTTCTTTGGACGATTTGCTCCGTTTAGGTAATGGCGTCAAACTTGCCTTGCCATCGACTTGACAGCAGTTGAATTTTTTTGTCTTTGAAATAACCCCAAATAGTTTAAATAACTACAGATTTCTATAAGGTGGGAAAACTGTAATGAAAAATACTATTGTTTTAGATGGATTGGTTAATTAACGCAGAATTGAGCTAGATTGTAGCAAATAAACACGCCTGCTCCGTTCAGCAATTATATCCACCCTCCCACATATATGGCGCATGTGTATGGTGTGTTTCCTTTAGTTTGCCATATGCCTACGGTACTTTCCTTTAACTATACCATAAGGTTATGGTGTTCCGCTATATAATAATATGAATTTTTTTATGGTTGCAATAGGCTTATGGTGTCTTGCCATGTAAATTTTTATGGTTATCATAGGCTCATTGTATCTTGCCATATAAAGGCTGTGATGCCACAATTGGCATACGCATATTTATTTTCTATCTTTTAAAATTTCTTTCATTACTTAAGCTGATTTTTTATTAATAGAATTATATTTAAAATAAATCACAAACTTAATCTTTTTAAAACAAACATAAAATATTTATTTCTTCTCTTCTAGATTAATGTAACGGATACTTTTTTATTTCATTACTAATGCAGACTTATATATTCACTGTCGCCTTTAATCGAAAACAAAAATCTATTTATAACTTTTTATTCTAATTTTCCAACGGCTAAATGTTTCGGTTGCATGGTTGTAATAATTCACATAAATTTGTTGGCGACTCGTGATCGCCAAGGTATTCTTTTAAACCCATATTGATAGGCTGGTTGGCTTTGTTTTGGCTATAATATTTTAATAGATCGCCAATTTTGGATCTCCTACCCATGCTTCTGTGTCCGTTGGGAACAAATTACATGTACTTTTTAATTTGGCTTTTGATTAGGCAGGTTGTGGGGGATTTGTCTCCCATGGCCTGTCCTTAAAAATATTATTATGCAAAATTGATTCAACTGAAATTCGTATGGATAATATGTATATTTGGTACCTCGAGCTCTGCAAATATATAAAATAAAAGCTTTTTATTAAATATGATCCGGTTCAACTGTTAATTTTCTTCATCCCCTGATTTCATCACAGTCTTCAACTAGTCCACTATACTCTACAACCTCCATCCACACTGGAAATAATATCTTCACCATAAAGGCCATGCAAATTTTAATGGTTTCTGTAAGCCTATGGTTTCAGGCAATATAAATGTCTATGGTTACCATAGGTTACCATAAATTACCATAAGTGTGTCAATGGCAAATTTTCTTAAGAGAAATGCAAGTAAATTCAATGTTTTATGTTTTATTACCATAGCAACGGTAATAAAAAACGGTTAAAATAAATACTTACGGTTTAAAATAAATGAAAAAATAAAAATTAAAAATACACAAAATAGATTAATTTGTGAGAATTATTCAATTGTTCTTTAGCTAATAACTCCTTAAGAGCAAATTTATTTTGTTCTAACACGTTATGCTATGCTGTTATTTTAGGAGTTATACACTTCTAGAATAAGCTGAACAGTCCATTTAAATAGATGTAATTTTGAAACATAAACTATATGATAAGAAGAAAGCAACGTCGAACAATATAGTTGATTGAAATAAAATGTGTGATTAAATGAATGTAACCTGTTAAATGGAACGAAACGTATAATTAAACGAAGGCAATTTGCTAAACAGAAGGAAATGTACGATTAAAAGTAGGAAACTTTGATTAATACTATTAAAATGCATGATTAAAAGAAGGCAACTTTGAATAATGCCATTAAGTGGAATAAAATGTATGATTATTAAACGAAGGTATTATTTCAGTACTGTTTCTCTCAATATGTTAGAAGATAATACGCAACCAAGGAAAAACTTTCAGATTCAACTAACATCTAGGAAATGAGAAAAGATCTATCGGTAAATATCAAAAAACCGAGGATGTCTTTCACAAGACAGAATGAATGGATATCGTTGAGGTAATATGTACTGAAAAAGATTCTTAAAAATACAGTGAACGACAAACAAACAAGAATCTTGGTTAAATTACATAAGTTCTTGTTCTGAAGCATATAACCTAGTTTCTCTGTAATTGAGTTACTGAAAATACCAGTTTTCCTTTAAGCATTTCTTATAGGGACCTTTTTACAGATATCTCAATGTATTGTTATTTTATATCTTGTTCTGTGTGGCGCTTAGATCCCTAAATAATGTTGTGAAATTTTAATGTCTAAGGACGGGAAAGTAAATAACAGAATTTCTTTAATTACCGAGAAATAAATTATTTCGGTAAAATTACAGATTCACCTGAAAATACTTTTTTGTATTTTTCCTGAAACTTTCCATTGAGAATTCTCTGTAATTTTACATGAGATTCTAGATAAATGATTTCCCGTGTTGATTCTTATGTATTTTAACTGAATTTTTTTTTTGTACAGTGCTGGCACGTTCGAGAATAAAATAATCAAATTGAATAAAAGAGTCAAATATTGAAAATAAATTAACCTCAGTTTTAATTTTGTGATTTTTTAAAGAAAGTTCAGAAATATCATTATTAAGATTCACATTTCAATGAAAAATACCATTCAATATCAATAGTTTATAAAAATAAATCTTTGTTTAGAGTTTTATGAAAATTTAGAATGAAGACGAGCTTGAACACACTTTAATAGTTCTTCGATTCCAGCTCTAGTGATATAAGTATCTTTTACGCACCTAAGTTTGCTTATCACGAAAAAAAATTGTTTATATATTTTTTGAAATATATATATTTTTTTCAGGGGGACCCCTATGTAATGTTGAAAAACTCTTCTGATCCTCTTATAGGGAACAATAGATTTGAGGGTTTCTGCATCGATCTCATAGAAAGGTTATCAGAAGTTTTGCATTTTTCGTATGAAATAAAATTAGTTGATGATGGCGACTATGGCAACAAATTTCCAAATGGCAGCTGGTCCGGAATGATTGGCGAAGTGATGAGAGGAGTAAGTTCCTTTTTTAAAAACTTTATGACTGAAATTAAAACTTTTTGATTCAGAAATTACGTTGTCAAACGACCAGTAGAATTATTACTTGAAGTTTCTATACATTTTTGGCGTAGTTTTAATCAGCAAAGTTGCTGTTAAAGCACGTGTGATGTTGTCCTCACACATTCTTATGCTTTTCCCCTTTTATTTTACCTAATACACAATTAAGCACTTTTACTTTGTTAACTTAAATTTTAATCCCTTAAGCTTATCTATGCAAGTTGCAGGCTAATTTTCTCATCTTGATATCTTCCGGTTTTATACGTTTTATGCGTTAAACACTTCCAGAATTTTCGAGATGTCAACAAACGGAAATGTCTGTTGGATAAATTTCCCATAAATTCTATTCTAGAATGTTCTTAAGTTTGGTGACAAACAGAAGCATGTTTTTTGATAGATGATTATGAAAATAGGTTACAACTTATATGTAATGATATGAGTTCTAATGAAAATATAACGAATACTTATGATGCTGTTTGGTGAGGATTTTTTTAAAAGATCCTGCTTGGGGTATTTCTATAGCTGCACATTGGTTGATGGTCTTAAATTTTGCTTAGGGAATTTCTAAAAAGTTGCAGCACTCCAGTCAATATGTTTTTCTGTGCTCAGGAGATTAAAAAAATAAAGTAGATTGAAACGAAATGCTCTCACATGTGAACTATGGTAGGTCACACAAGTGACTTATGACCTATGTATATTACCCTGATATATTTTCGTTTAGTGTAGTTGCAACGTTGATGCATAATTAGTTTGATTTTGTTCTACATGGATACATACCTGTTTCTGTTAAGTAAGAAATATATAGTGAAGGAATTGAAATCTTTGAGAAAGAATCTTTGTGTGAGAATATAGAATGCGTCATTTAAGATAATTGATACTTTACGGGTTCAGCTTACTCTAAATAAAAGAGAAAGGACAGTTGTTAACGTAAGCAAATGTCAAGTTTCAACAACCAATCAGGATTGAGGTATCCACACTACGTCACTTGCAGGTATAATTTTAAGAAATACCCTGTATAATTTTAAGAAACTCACTTGGTCCGTAAGCTAGTTTAACCATTTCTTACATAGCGCAAAAAGCGTTTGACTTTAACATTACAATGCCATGTTTTTGGCACCAGTGGTAGTTGCTTTAAGTTATATCATATTAGTACAATTTAGAAAAATTTCGAAAAGCATTGAAATGAGTTAGCGAAAGAAAGATGCGTCAATGACATGAAAAATTAATCTTTGCTTATGCATTTTCAGGAAGCTCACATGGCTGTAGCAGGCTTGAGTATCAACCACAAACGCGAAAAAGCTGTTGATTTCACCATGCCGTTCATGAATACTGGAATCAGTATCCTTTACAAGAAACCAACAACTAAAGTAACTTCCTTGTTTTCTTTCTTATCTCCATTTTCAACTGAGGTCTGGATTTATTTGATGGGAACGTACTTTCTGGTCAGCATTGTTTCATTTTTGATTGGTCGACTTACCCCATACGAATGGATTAATCCTCATCCTTGCAGACAAGATGACATAGTAGTTGAAAACGTTTTCAATGTTCGAAACACTTGCTGGTTGATGACGGGATCTCTTATGCAACAAGGATCAGATTTAATACCCACGTATGTTAAATAGTTCGAATTGTAAGGCTTAGGGTGATATAGTTATGAGTCCATATTTTTGAAAGAGGACATGTTTAGATAAAACAGTTCCTTAGTAGTGTTCTCACATATGTACTTTATGATTTTTTGAAGTTTTCACAAGGTGGCTGCGCAATATACAAAACCTTCCTACACTCTAAATGCTACATAAAATTTTTAACATTCTCAATGAAATATTTTCTCAAAGTACAATTTCTTCTGCAGAGCAAGTAAAAGTGTGGTTTATCATTATATCACCCCGAGCCCTAAGATTGTAAATACGACTTTTTTTATTTATAAATTCATTCCTGTTGTTTTTTGAAGAAAATTATTGTTAATTATTACACTGTCCACAATTATACTCAGTACTTTCTGCTTTTGCAGTGGTTAATTTTTCAGATTAGTTAAAATTTTTATTATACTTGGCGAAACTGCAACAGATGCGTTAATAATCCAACCGTTTCGTTTCTAGCTATTATAGTAAAACGGCATGAAATTAAAACATAATGTTTTTAGTAATTTTAGATTTCAATCGGAAAAGTCCTCGAATGACATTCTCAAAATGAGCAAAAAGTTGGCTTTTAAAACATGTTATGGTCTAATATTGTAATATGAATGTTTTTATGCCTGGGATAGGAAATTGTCGGAATTTTAATAGGATATTGTGAAATTTTGTACCATTTGTGCTATGAAATGTTGCCAACGGAACGGACGGTTGATAGCGCTGGTTTGTTGCAAATAGCTACCATGAACAACGCGTTTTTTTTGTTGAGCAATGATGCTGTGAAGTAACATGAACAAATATCCTTTCGATGAGAATCTGTGTTTAGTGTATATTTTTGGCAAATCTATCGGCAATTGTATGATCGGCAAGTATTTTTTGTCTTCCTTGCACAATGTATTCCAATTTATGACACACAAAAATAACTTTACAGTCAAAGAAGTGTTCTCCTTCAGGTTTTCGCCAACTTGGCGTTGATTCTGGTGCTTTTAGCGACATTTTAAACGATAATAGCCCTAATTACCTGGCTAAAGTTTCGGTATATCCAGAATTCCTTATAAGTTTGGCGATTTTTCTCCCTCAAAAACGGCAAATGATGGACCATTTTTATTTTGATACTTGAACCTGGTACCTTCTATTGATAAGGAATTATATAGTTTCATTTCTAGGATGGAGAAAAAGTTGAAATTTGTTGCAAAATGATAATATGACCATCGTTGTTACTACTTGGTTGCGTAATTTCCCATTTGGGTTATCAGAATCGGCAACCTCTATCTCACAAGTTTAACGCTGTTGGATTTTTTTATGTTTAAGATTTATATCAACAAGCTAATGACCTCCCCATGGTTTAAAGAATAAATCTCAATAAAATTCATTTAACTTCATGGAAAACGGTCTTTGAAAATTTTAACAAAAATGTGGACATACGATTACGAAGTCCTATCGCATTATCTAATATGCTGTTTTATTCAAAAACTTTGCTCAAATTATATTTTTTAATCAAAATTACGGGGTTTCAAACAAAACAGCCATTTCTATGAATTGGGTGAAATCCGATAAAAAGCTATAAGAATTTAAAATTGTTTATATTATTTTGAATCATGTTTTAAAATCTCATAAGTTCAGAAGCAAATAAACGAATTTTAACAATAATTTTTGGAACAATGTCACACTTTGGACTTCACACGTTTTTATCTCACTTTGGGTAAATTCAATAGCTTTAAATATAGTGATGTGTTGTAAAACACNTTTTAAGCAACAATAGCCCTAATTACCTGGCTAAAGTTTCGGTATATCCAGAATTCCTTATAAGTTTGACGATTTTTCTCCCTCATAAACGGTAAATGATGAACCATTTTTATTTTGATACTTGAACCTGGTACCTTCTATTGATAAGGAATTATATAGTTTCATTTCTAGGATAGAGAAAACGTTGAAATTTGTTGCAAAGTGATAATATGAGCATTGTTGTTACTACTTGGTCACGTAATTTTCCATTTGGGTTATCAGAATCGGCAGCTTCAATCTCACAAGTTTAACGCTGTTGGATTTTTTTTAAGTTTAAGATTTATATCAACAAGCTAATGATCTCCCATGGTTTGAAGAATAAATCTCAATAAAATTTAGTCACCTTCATGGAAAACGGTCTTTGGAAATTTAGACAAAAAAGTGGACATACGACTACGAAGCCCTATCGCATTATCTAATACGATGTTTTATTCAAAAACTTTGCTCAAATTACATTTTTCAATGAAAATTATGAGGTTTCAAACAAAACAGCCATTTTGTGAATTGGGAGAAATCCGATAAAATAGCTATAAGAATTTCATACTGTTCATATTATTTTGAATCATGTTTTAAAATCTCGTAAATTCAGGAGCAAATAAACGAATTTTAGCAATAATTTTTGGAACAATGTCACACTTTGGACCTCACACGTTTTTGTCTTACTTTGGGTAAATTTAATAGCTTTAAATGTAGTGATGTGTTGTAAAACAGACTTTTTCGAAACATCAATAATCATATTCATATAAATTATAAATGTAAATAATTTATATAATATGAAAATAATATACATCGAATAATATATATGTATGAAATAGTATTTATATCAAATAATGTATTTTTAATATCCTTTTTTTTCTAATTAATTAAGATGGGATTTAAATAAATAGTTAAACCAATATTTATGTTTTTATTCTAGGGCTTTTTCCACGAGAACAGTTGCCAGTTTTTGGAATTTTTTTACCTTGATTATGGTTTCTTCTTACACAGCTAACCTTGCTGCTTTTTTAACAGTTGAGAGAGTAATCTATCCTTTCTACAGCGCTGAAGATTTATCTAAGCAAAGTAAAATCAAATATGGCTGCATTGACAGCGGGACTACTCGATCGTTTTTTGAGGTATGTGGCTCCATCTACATTACGCAAGTTTCCGAAAATTCCTGAATTGATGTAATTTTTCATTCAAAATATTTAAACATCAATCTTCTTGGTGAAATAAAACACAGAAGTGGAAGTAGGGATGAAACATTTGTATTTTCCAAACTTTAAGCATAAGAAAAAAAAAAAACTTTTGGGCTTGAGTTTTTGTGAAAATAAATGAATTAATTGACAACGATTTTTCACGATTTTATTACATTTTGCTACTTTATATTCGTTTTATATTTATTTAAAAAAATAAGATTTACTGTTATTGGCACCCATAACCTACAGTGTTAAAATCTATGTTGAAATAAGGTCAAAAAAGTGTTTTTCAATCAGGGATTGCAAGTTAATGTTTATGCGATGTAAGCAATAAAATGTTATCGAAATTGAATGATTCACAACTGAGAATAAGCCGGCCAGGTGGCCCAGTTGTTAGCGGTCCAAATCCCGCTCAAGGCATGGATGTTTCTCTCTGTGTGCTGTCCTCTGTTGTTGTATGATGTGTGAATATGGCCCACCCTAATAACGGGCATCTGTGGCAGTGTGGTGTGGGTAATATTGCTCGCCTCCGTGACTTTGTTCACAGGTGACCATCAGGTAGTGCTAAATGAGCAACACCTCCGGCATCTTCCTAGACAAAGAACGATAAGTTCAGTGACTGCCGTTAAAAAAAAAGAAAAAAAAAAGATTGGCGGAATAGAAAACAAAAAAAAAAATCTGTTTGATTACCCTAAGGACTGAGAGGATCAGAAAGGTAGTAATTAGAAACGCCTTAAAGTTTCTTCGCGCAATCAATCAGTCTTTGATGCTATCTATTCCGCCTTTCTCCGTAATGATTCGTTAGATTTGGATAGAATTTTTTTTCTTTTCTAAATATTCATTTGAGAGTTATAACGTGCATGCATTTGACTCCAGTTTTTTCAAGAATTCAAAGGGATATATTTTAAAAATGGTGAAGAAAAATAGATATTAAAAATACAAATTTTACAGGATAGCATAAGTAAAAAAAAAAAAAAGAAAAAGTCTTAGCCCGAAGCAATAATATTCACCAGAAATTGTATGCGAAGAGCAGTGTGTGTTTTGTTTTTTAGAAATGTTCTACAGTTATTTTTCGAAAGTAAAGACTTTTATGTTATTATTGGAAAAAAATATTATTATTAATATTTAAAGATGTATTATTCAAACTTATAAAAATATGTATGATGAGCATAAACAAATACATTATGAAAAATTTCGTTACTTCCGCTTTACACTTCGAATCAGAATTAGTTAAAGATGTCAGTGTTCTTGATTATTCCATAAACAATTTACAACACACGAAATGATTTATTTTACAGTTCTATATACAAAAATATGAAATACTAGTTTCATCAATAAAAATCGAAAGACTCAAGGATATAAAATGGCATACATGTAATTAATGATCAAAAACAGATAAAATATAAACTCAAAGCCATTTTGTTTCTTCTCCACAAAAAAGAATGAACAAGCTAAAAAAAAAAAAGACAAAACAAACTGTTACCATAGCAAACATAATTTTATGAACTAGATCAGAGTTAAAAATTAAGCAGACGATAATTCTCAGCACTTATTATGATAAGTATTTTAACCCTCCAAGCATTGAATACCTGGGTAAAATTGTACTGAAATTTCCCTACTATGAACAACTTCCCATTAAAAACCTAAGAAAAAACCGGCCTGTTGATATTGGAAATCCTGCAGGTTAAACTGGGACTAATGCTAAGAGGGTTAAAATAAAAATAAACGAAAATTCACTGATGATGTTAAAACTATTTATTATGAATTTTATGAGAATCTATTATACCAGTTCATTGCGTGAGAAGCCATGAACAGTGACAAGGATAATATAATTTTTTATATTATCCCTAAGGAATTGATATAAAAAATAATACAATCTGCTATGTTGCTAAATCTACTTTTAATTCCTTTATAAGAATATCTCATTCTTACTTTTCAAAATATATAAGAATTCGTGATAAATATGGAGGATAATATAATAATTTTGTCACTTATTATAATAGATTGGTTTTAAAAATATTACATTTGTTGCTGTAGTCAAAGCTTTTTCTGATAAACTAATAAAATTCTTCGATTTTAATTTATTCAGAACATGAGAGAAGTCTAGATAAGTGACGATGAAAATATTATCTCATCAATTTCAATGATTGATAAATTTTAAAACGAATAATACAATCTAGATAATTTTAAGATAGATAAATTTAAGATAGATAATAAAAAGCAGGATAATGTATGGAAATAATTTATTATTATTACACAGGGGAAACAAAATTTTTTAGGTTATGGAATTTCAAATCTGAAATTAGTTTTGTTGTTAGAATTACAGATTTTTCTTCTCAAGATGACATACTTAGTCTATTCAAAGAAACTCATGTCCGGAAATGCAGTTGTATGCGGTTAGAGGCGCTTCTCTACTATGACCGGTTCAGAAGCACCCAGTTCATAATAGGGAGGCGCCAATTGCGCCGTATGATAATATTTCTGGGTCTAGGTTCCTATAAATATTTCTTCGTGTGATTCTGAACAGGTCATAATGGAAAAGCTCCCCTAGCCGCATACGACGACATTTCCGGATATGGGTTTCTTTGCAATATTAATCCTGATGATGCACCGTAACTCTTTTTAAAGTTAGTCGCAATATTTACGTGACACTCTGCTACTATATCTGGTTACTATATCTACACTCTGTTACTATATCTACACTCTGTTACTATATCTACACTCTGTTACTATATATGGTAACGTGACCATACATAATACTGAAGCTTGGAGAGAGAAACCGATTGCGGAATTGAAATCAGCAATGCGAAAGTATCGAATTGCTGTAAAACAACCTCATGCTACAGAAAAAGAAAGGTTCCCCAGTGTTATTTTTAAAAAAATATACCCCTCGAACTATTCGAATTATGCGAAAAAGCCATTTCAGGGATATATTTGGTCATTATATCACGTAGTAAGTGACTTTTGATAAGTATAATACAGTGTGTGAGCTGATGTTTATCACTCAGCCCAGACACCGGATCTTCTGGATGCAGAAAATCCTCAGCGGCCATGTCGTATGATTATGCGGCATGTAAAAGATCCCTGGAGTGCTTTATTGGCTCTTAGCATTTCCGGCAAAATTAAATTCCTATTGCACTTTAGCATCCAAATAAGAATCTGGGTGCTGCCATCTAGTGTGGCAGAAACTAGACGTCCAAATTAACATGGCCATCGGTATCTCACCCATTGTGGTGGTCCTGAAAGAGTGGATACCACTTCTGGAGAACGCATTTGGTCTGCTCATGTGTGCGCACTTTGCAGCTCATTGGAAATTTTAAAAAAATGTTTATTACAAAGTATCAATGATATTTATAATTTACTTTAGGAGTCTACAATACCAACTTATCAGAATATGTGGAAAGCTATGATAAGCGATGAGAATAATCTGGTAGTCAATAACGACGCTGGTAAAGAACTGGTGAATAAACGGAATGGACTTTATGCTTTTATGATGGAATCTGCTACGATTGAATACGTTACTGAAAGGGAGTGTAGCTTAGCACAAATTGGAGGTCTTCTTGATAACAAAGGTTACGGAATTGCTACTAAGAAAGGTAATAGTTAGGATGCTAATGGTTATAATGNCCGTTTGACAAGAGTTAAGTAAATCGCTCTGGCTATCATACATTTACATTAGTCCAGCGAGGGCGCATTAAAAATCGATCGGGGGCGCCATGGCGCCCGCGGGCGCCGCGTTGCCTACCCCTGCTCTAAAGAATACGACTAACTATGAGGTTTTTCTATTACTCTGAAGAATACAACTAACTATGACGTTTTTATATCACTCCAAAGAATACAACTAACTATGACGTTTATCTATTGCTCTAACGAATGCAACCAACTATGATGTTTGTCTATTGCTCTAGAGCAGGGGTCGGCAACCTGTTTGTCCTTAAGGGCGCAATACTAAATTTGAAAATCACCGAGGGCGCATATTTTACAGATAATCATGCACAATCCTAAACTCAACTGACTACTTGCTGTATATCGCCGTTTGACAAGAGTTAAGTAAATCGCTCTGGCTATCATACATTTACATTAGTCCAGCGAGGGCGCATTCAAAATTGATCGGGGGCGCCATGGCGCCCGCGGCCGCCGCGTTGCCTACCCCTGCTCTAAAGTAACATGATAAAATTACTATATTTTACCACATTTGCCAAATTTTATCACATTGTATAAAATCATATTTTATTATTAATTGTACCGAAACACTTAGTAGATAAAAATTAACGAGCTTTTCGGTGTTCCCATGGAGCCAAAAATACAGTAAATTTTAGTTTTTTTTTTCAGTGCGGGATGTTCCATGAAAATGGCCGATGATTTTAAATATCATTTAATTAAAAACGAAAAGCGATAGAAACTTAAGATATGTGGCATTCTGCATGAGGAACTTGTAATTAATTCTCACCAAATATCAAAATTAGTTTCAAAGTTCATCAAGAGAGGGATCTGGAAACTAAGAAAAACTATTAACCCCTTAACGATCTGTTAGGTTTCAAGAAAACGGTAATAAAAGTGCCTATTTTCTTGGCTTGTGTATTTGTATTACGTATTTGATTAGTGCTGGCATCCAGTTTAAAATAAACTAACTATCTACAATTACCTTAAAAATATCCTGGTACTGCCATCTGGTGTGTAAAATGGGAAACAAAATATTTTCCGGGCAAGAGAAATTAATTAGTTATATTCTTATTGGCGCGTTACTACTGAGCACTCCAGCCCGTCATTTTCACGGGAGCGAGAAGGAAAGGGTTCAACAACAAAATGGAGTACTTAAATCAAAATTAATTTTTCATCTATAATGATTTTTGTAGCTAAAAAACGTTACTTACAGTCTTTTTTTTTGGTTAGGAGAGTCTTACTCTCCTAACCAAACTTATTAGCTAACTTATTTATGAATTTTTAAAGTTTTGGAATAAAAATTCATGGTTTCATAAGCAGGACATGGCAAACCGTGCTTTCAATCACCCTTTTTTTCATTTATTTTTTAATTACAAGTAATTTTTGCAAAACTCGCCAAACTCATTTTTATTTAACACGACATCTAATTTCATCCTGCTTTGTCGTTTAAATGATTCTAGTTTTTTATACCAACTGAACATTTACTGATTTCATCAGGCAACAGGGAATTGTCAGATTGGTTGTCTTCAGGCATTTTGAGACTTCAAGAGAAAGGTGATCTTCAAATTTTAAAAGAACGCTGGTGGAAGCAGAAGGGAGGTGGTAAATGTTCTGACCCATCTAAGCAAGGTTCAAGTGCTGTTAGGGAGCTCACATTAGGGAATGTAGGTGGAGTTTTCGTGGTTTTGATATTTGGTTTAGGAGCTGCGACGCTGATTGCTTTTCTCGAATTCCGATGGAGATCTGCTCATTGGGAAAATCCGAATAAGGTAAGTTTCTATTAATTATGGTTATGTTTTACCCTATTTTGTATGGAGTTTTATCAAACTAAATGTTTTCTTTTTTTGTAGAGGGAAATTTATTTTATAGAAGGAAATGATTTGTTTTGTTTTATCATCAGTACGAATCACAGTAATTTAATAACTAGGAAGGGACTGTAATAACTGTTAAGACATTAAATTAAATCCGTTGTAAATATCTGCTACAAAATAACAGATTTCGACATTGTATTATTGGCAGAAAGAACATAAAGAATGGGTGTAATAGATATATTTATCTTATCAAAGTAATTAGGAAGGCCGTGGTAGCCTAGTGGTAAGAGAATTGGACTCCTTTTTAAGGGAACCACGTTCGATCCTCGACACCACCAAACCTCACCAAGTACATGCGATATACGTGCCAGTAAAATCGGTGGAATTTGAAATTCCTGTGATCCGTTGCTGACCAACTCCGTGGATACAATAATCTGGAGAAAATTTCCTTGTCCTTCAGGTCTCACACATAAGTGGTACTGCTTTCTATCCATTGGGTTTTGTGCTTAAGACGTACTTTCACTCTTCCGGGGCACTTTTGTCAAACGAAAAGTGCCCCTGCCAGACTTAATTCGCAAAAAAGGCCAATGGCAGCCAACCATAGCATGTCCGAATTTTATTGAAAACAGGAACAAGTAATTTAGGTAACTGATCTATTGTCCGCCTTTCTTATGGGGTATAAAGTATCAGAACACAATGTTTTTCACACAATAGTAGAGATTATATAGTAATTTTTTGTTTGTTGGATAAATGCAGATCAATCTCCAAATACAGTAATTGTAGTTAGCTATGTCAACTAAAACTACGGAAAATCACATTTCGTAACAAAACTAGTCCACTACAAATTATATTGAAACTAAAATGACTTTTACAAAGAAAATTGCACGAAAAAAAACAATCAAGGTGTTTTTATTTCGTCCAAAATTATCTCCAAACATTAGCATATTTTATGTCATATTTAATAATACATTATATATTTTATATAACATTATACATTGTATATTATGTTACATTATACATTATATTACATTATATATTTATAATGTACATATTTTATGTAACATTAACATATTATATGTCGGATTTCGATAGGTTTGTTTTGTTTTTTCCACAATGCTTCAAAAAGATATTTTTCGAGGGCACAATAATCATATGGAATAACATTTTTTGAAGAATAATATGCTATTTTTGTAACTTTTGCCAGTTTGTTTACGATTGTTCTGTTATTTTTTCTTTACTTTTTGACAGTGGTCTCTATGCTAACTATGAAAATGTCAAATGAGGGAAAAGTCACACACTGTAAAAAATTTTCAGGTATCTTAGCACTAAGTAGTGCAATTCACTAAATATATCACCATGAGTACTAAAGTAAGTTTATCACTTAATAGACCGTATATTTTGCATAACAGTGAGAGACTTGGGTGCTTAATAAAGCAGAAGAAAATATATTACTCGCGTTTGAAAGAAAAATCCTTCGGTCAATTTCGGAACAGTGAACGAAAATAATGTACAGAAAAGTTTATATTACCATGAAGTGTATAACAAATATAGGCAACTGATCATTTTGAAAGTAATTAAGTCATACGGGATCAGGAGGTTGGAACATGTTTTTCGTTGTGAAAACTCCAATCCAGTTAAAAAGCCAACATTTTCAAAGATTGAAGCTACAACGAAGAGAGGGAGACGGGCAACAAGGTTTTTGAACTGTGTGGAGAAGGACCTGAAAATTCTGAGATTGAATAGATGGAGATATTTAGTTACAAGTCGAACTGTCTTAAAGAGGAGGACTGAGAAAGCCTTGGCCTGTACAAGGCTGTAGTCCACCACACAAAGAATGATCTATTACACTACTTGGTGTAAAGTAGTCACCGCAATGTTTTACATTTAGTTGCACTAAGATTCATAATTATAGTAAGATTCGATGTATTTTTACGATGCAATAAAAAGGAAGAATTTTAGAAACATGCACTAATTCATAAAAGCAAAATTTATTTGTTAATCAAACTTACGAGCAGCGCAGAGAGAACATGAAGATGAACCAATACCTCTTAGAAAAGAGAAGGCCTCAGAAAGGGTTGCCATAAACAAGAAATTTGATACTTTAGTAGGCCAAACGTAATGCCATGCTCCGTATTTGCCACCACTGCACAGTTAAGTAGCCCAAACGTAGAGACATCTTCCTTATTTTTCACCCACTGCGCAGTTTATGTTTGTTAAGTCGGACTACTAAACTGATCCTTGCTGAGGCCTTCTTTCTTCTCGGAGGTGTTGGATGGACTCGAACAAGACTTATCAGTTTGGAAGCTGATAAAAATTATACATGATAAAACCACTCAATACAGTTCACAGAGACTTAAAAAATAAAATATAATTATCCTTATTACCCAACTAAAAACTTGCATATCTATATATACGCCATTGTTTTATATTTTAACTATAAAAAATGAATTGTTCAATAAAATCACTAAAAATCACAAACAACAACAAAGTCTCAGTAACTAATTTTTGATAACAAACGTTAACTTCTGGCGAAAAAATTAAAGCTGGCATGCTTACATTAGGAATTATCGGAAAGAAAAATAATTCCCGTTTCGTGTGAATGAGTGAGAATCTGTGGCAAGCTAATTCTATTATAAGTGTTTAGATATACACTCCTCAAAAGTGAAATTGCAACACCAAGAAATAATGCACGTAGCGTCATGCAAATTTCAGGAGCGATAGTAGTGAGACGGATATGCAAATGATTAAATTTGCGCACACATCTGATCACGTGGTACGCCTATTCGGGCTATAAAGGCCAGCAACTTTCCCTTCTCATAAACGGCATCTGAGGTTTTGCGTAGCATTTGCGACTTTCGAAAAAGCGTAGAAAATGCCTCTGATTCGTCGGCGAGCTCAATACCATGAACGTGACAGTATTATCGAACTCCACGAACTTGGTTTATCGCTGCGGGCAAGAGCAACTCGTGTTGGGGACACCGTGAGTACCCTCCAACGTTGTGTCACACGATGGATTCAGGAAGGTCTACGTGCACGCCGAAGAGGAAGTGGTGCGCACAGGTGCACGTCAGAGCGCACAGACCGGCGTATTCGCCAGTTGACTATTCGAGGCCCTTTCTCCACGGCACGTGCCATCCGAAGCCGGTTGCCTTCAGGAGCAGGTGGATCTGTGTCCACCCAAACCATACGCAACAGATTGCATGAAGTACAGTTGCGTGCACGGGTACCAGCAACAGGGGTACCGTTGACCGCTTTACACAGGGCTAGACGCCTGGCGTGGTGTCATCGTCATCGTACCTGGACCATCCAATGGCATCGGGAATTGTTCACGGATGAATCTCGTTTCTGTCTGTGGAGAAATGACAACCGTCGACGGGTATGGCGGTGACCCGGAGAACGCTACGAACCAGCCCATTGCGCCGAGCGTCACAACGGTCTTACACCGGGCATCATGGTTTGGGGTGGCATAATGTTTGATCGCAGAACGCCCCTGGTACACATTCACGGCAGTTTGGCAGCGGGCCGCTACGTCACACAAGTTGTGTATCCCGTTGTTCTGCCCTTGTTGCAGGGCGCACCCAACACGGTATTCCAGCAAGGCGATGCCAGGCCGCATGTCGCGCGGCGAACTCTTAACAGCCTGACTGGATTTGACATCCTTCCCTGGCCGGCAGCCTCTCCAGATCTTAATACCATCGAACACCTATGGGATCTCATTGGACGTGGCATGAACAGAGGACCAATGGCGCAAACCATCGATGATCTGCGCACAGCAGTGGATGTGGCTTGGCAAAGGTTACCTTAGGCAACCATCAATGGAGTCATTGATAGCATGCCTCGCCGGATAGAGGCCTGTATAGCTGCCGGAGGTGGCCACATCAGATATTGAATAAATTGCTTTATAATGATTTTATTAGTCTGTTTTTTTAATCATTTGCATATCCATCTCACTGCTATCGCTCCTGAAATTTGCATGACGCTACGTGCATTATTTCTTGGTGCTGCAATTTCCCTTTTGAGGAGTGTAAATTACGCCCTTTTAATCGTATGAATGCTCGATCTGGTGTTAATCGGGAATAAAATGTTACTTCACACAAATTTTCGGTATATTCGGTAAAATATTGCGTCACAAATTTCATAGTGTAAAATTTCGAGAAAATGAAAAGTTTTTGTGATCTATTTTTTGTTATTTTTAACATTTATAACGTTACGCTAACTCTGTGCAACTGTACATCATTAAAAATATATAAAAAATTGGGGAACTTTTCATTGATTTCAATAATTTTCATTTACATATTTTTTTTTGTTGTGAATTTAAATATTTTTTTTCAATGTTTAAGCTGTTCGTCCACTTTGAAGCGCGATATACATCTTTTGAACAACGTAGCATAGGCAGTTTAACACCTTTGCTTGATTTCAAAACACTCAAAATGGCTGTTAAACATTGTTTAACAATCTTAAAAAATGTCTTTGAGTGAAAGACATAAGTTTCAAAAATGTAAGACTAGAAGTATTGCTTTGCAACAAGAAAGAAATTGCATGGACTGATCCTAAAGGAGCAGATTATCTCGAGGAGCAGCTTTGGAGAACTGACGTCACGAGGTAAGGTTTTCCCCGCAGCGACACCTGTCAGCTGAGTTCCCGAAGTGCCACAGAATTCAACAAAAAGTAATGGCAGCGTGGGAGTGAGGGATTCTTTTCTTTCCCCCTGTTTTAGAACAATTCATTCGAAGTTGATTTTGGGCACCCTGATGTACGTTCGGTGCATCAGGAAGGCGTGCAGTCCTGTTGTAAAAGATTTAAGATGCCGACAATTTCTTTTGTGAGAAGATAATCCTTTTTCATCTTTATTTGTGTAAAATTGAATCTACAAGTGATGGCCTGTGTGGCGATATTTTTGTTGATGATATTATAATTTACATTTTTTTTAATAATTTAGTGAGAATAAACATGGTGAGTTTTAACATTTCAGTATTTGTTTTATCTGTCTCATGTACTTTTTAACTCAAAGCAATCCATTCCTTTTCAGCTNTTATTATTGAAAAAAACAAACAAATAAATATTATTATTAATATTTAAAGATGTATTATTCAAACTTATAAAAATATGTATGATGAGCATAAACAAATATATTATGAAAAATTTCGTTACTTCCACTTTGCACTTCGAATCAGAATTAGTTAAAGATGTCAATTTTCTTGATTATTCCATAAACAACTTACAACACACGAAATGATTTATTTTACAGTTCTATTTACAAAAATAAAAGATACTAGTTTCACCAATAAAACTCCAAAGACTCAAAGATATAAAATTGCATGCTCATAATTAATGCTCAAAAACAACTAAATATAAACACAAAGCCATTTTGTTTCTTCTCCACAAAAAAAGAATAAACAGGCTCCGAAAAAAAAAAAAAAGGACACAACAAACTGTTACCATAGCAACTTAATTTTAGGAACTAGATCAAAGTTAAAAATTAAGCAGACGATAATTCTCAACACTTATTATGATAAGTATTTCAACCCTCTAAGCATTGAATACCTGGGTAAAATTGTACTGAAATTTCCCTACTATGAACAACTTCCCATTAAAAACCTAAGAAAAAACCGGCCTGTTGATATTGGAAATCCTGCAGGTTAAACTGGGACTAATGCTAAGAGGGTTAAAATAAAAATAAACGAAAATTCACTGATGATGTTAAAACTATTTATTATGAATTTTATGAGAATCTATTATACCAGTTCATTGCGTGAGAAGCCATGAACAGTGACAAGGATAATATAATTTTTTATATTATCCCTAAGGAATTGATATAAAAAATAATACAATCTGCTATGTTGCTAAATCTACTTTTAATTCCTTTATAAGAATATCTCATTCTTACTTTTCAAAATATATAAGAATTCGTGATAAATATGAAGGATAATATGATAATTTTGTCATTTATTATAATAGTTTAGCCTTAAAAATATTGCATTTGTTGCTGTATAGTCAAAGCTTTTTCTTATAAAATTCTTCGATTTTAATTTATTCAGAATATGAGAGAAGTCTAGATAAGTGACGATGAAAACATTATCTCATCAATTTCAATGATTGATAAATTTTAAAACGAATAACGCAATCTAGATAATTTCAAGATAGATAGTTTTAAAATAGATAATTTTAAGATAGATAATTTTAAGAGAGATAATTTTAAGAGAGATAATAAAATGCAGGGTAATGTATGGAAATAATTTATTATTATTACACTGGGGAAACAAATTATTTTAGGTTTTGGAAGTTCAAATCTGAATTTAGTTTTGTTGTTAGAGTTACAGATTTTACTTCTCAAAATGACATATTTAGTCTATTTTCTGTCGATACGTACAAGTTTAAAAACGTTACATACAACAAGATAAATGGTGCGAAAAAACTTCTGAGGCAGTTAGGGCAAATTATCAGGATTAAAATTTCAAAGAAACTCATGTCCGGAAATGTTGTTGCACGCGTTTAGAGGCGCTTCCCTACTATGACCGGTTCAGAATCACCCAGTTCATAATAGGGAAGCGGCAATTGCGCCGTATGATAATATTTCTGGGCCTAGGTTCCTATAAATATTTCTTCGTGTGATTCTGAACAGGTCATAATAGAAAAGCTCCCCTAGCCGCATGCGACGACATTTCCGGATATGGGTTTCTATGCAATATTAATCCTGATGATGTACCGTAACTCTTTTAAAAGTTTGTCTCAATATTTACGTGACACTCTGTTACTATAACTGGTTACTATATCTACACTCTGTCACTATATATGGTAACGTGACCATACATAATACTGAAGCTTGGAGAGAGAAACTGATTGCAGAATTGAAATCAGCAATGCGAAAGTATCTAATTGCTGTAAAACAACGTCATGCAACAGAAAAAGAAATGTTTCCCATTGTTATTTTTAAAAAATATACCCCTCGAAATATTCGAATTATGCGAAAAAGCCATTTCAGGGATATATTTGGTCATTATATCACGTAGTAAGTGACTTTTGATAAGTATAATACAGTGTGTAAGCTGATGTTTATCACTCAGCCCAGACACCGGATGCAGAAAATCCTCAGCGGCAATGTCGTATGATTATGCGGCATGTAAAAGATCCCTGGAGTGCTTTATTGGCTCTTAGCATTTCCGGCAAAATTAAATTCCTATTGCCCTTTAGCATCCAAATAAGAGTCTGGGTGCTGCCATCTAGTGTGGCAGAAACTAGACGTCCAAATTAACATGGCCATCGGTATCTCACCCATTGTGGCGGTCCTGAAAGAGTGGATACCACTTCTGGAGAACGCATTTGGTCTGCTCATGTGTGCGCACTTTGCAGCTCATTGGAAATTTTAAAAAAATGTTTATTACAAAGTATCAATGATATTTATAATTTACTTTAGGAGTCTACAATACCAACTTATCAGAATATGTGGAAAGCTATGATAAGCGATGAGAATAATCTGGTAGTCAATAACGACGCTGGTAAAGAACTGGTGAATAAACGGAATGGACTTTACGCTTTTATGATGGAATCTGCTACAATTGAATACGTTACTGAAAGGGAGTGTAGCTTAGCACAAATTGGAGGTCTTCTTGATAACAAAGGTTACGGAATTGCTACTAAGAAAGGTAATAGTTAGGATGCTAATGGTTATAATGAGCATGATAGTAGTGGTAATAGCATGCTAATGTAGATTGTCAGAAAAATCGATTCGGCTTTGAATCATGATATTAGTGGTCTTCAAACATAATACCATACGAATTCGCTGAAATTTTTATAAATTGAAATACAGTATCATGCAATCTATCTTTTTTTTAAAATAGATTAATCTGCACTACAATATGAATCCCATTGACTTCGAATAATTGCTGCAACAAATTTAAGCGATATTACGGCTCAAAGTTTCTAAGAATATAGCATACACACAGAGAAAAAAATTACTGTAGAATTACCCTGCTGTATGGTAATGATGTTTCTGGTAAAAAAAAAGCCGTAATTATTTTGATAATGAAATCAAAATATGCGATATTTAAGTCATTCATTTGGTAAATTTACCATTAACATGGTTTTTCAGAATTATAGATTGTGTTAACACACATTTAGTGAAAAATATAAAACAGAAAAGTAGATTTAATCAAATAAATGGTTCTTACGCCATGCTCTAAAGTAACATGATAAAATTACTATATTTTACTACATTTACCAAATTTTATAACATTGTATAAAATCATATTTTATTATTAATTTTACCAAAACGCTTAGATAAAAATTACCAAGATTTTCGGTGTTCCCATAGAGCCAAAAATACTGTAAATTTTAGTTTTTTCTTCAGTGCGGGATGTTCCATAAAAATGGCCGATGATTTTAAATATCATTTAATTAAAAACGAAAAACGAAAGAAACTTAAGACGTGTGACATTCTGCATGAGGAACTTGTAATTAAATCTCCCCAAATATCAAAATTAGTTTCAAAGTTCATCAAGTGATGGATCTGGAAACTAAAAAAAACCTATTAAGCAACAAAATGAAGTACTTAAGGCAAAATTAATTTTTCTTCTGTAATGATTTTTGTACCTTAAAAAACGTTATTTACAGTTTTTTTTTTTGGTTAGGAGTGTCCTTCATTAACTAACTTATTTATGAATTTTTAAAGTTTTGGAATAAAAACTCCTGGTTTCATCAACAGAACATGTCAAACCGTGGTTTCCATCTCCCTCTTTTTTTATAAATTTTTTAATTACAAGTAATTTCTGAAAAACTCGCCAAACTTATTTTCATTACACGACATCTCATTTCATCTTGCTTTGTCGTTTAAATGATTCTAATTTCTTATACCAACTGAACACTTACTGATTTCATCAGGCAACAGAGAATTGTCAGATTGGCTGTCTTCAGGCATTTTGAGACTTCAAGAGAAAGGTGATCTTCAAATTTTGAAAGAACGTTGGTGGAAGCAGAAAGGAGGTGGTAAATGTTCTGACCCATCTAAGCAGGGTTCAAGTGCTGTTAGGGAGCTTACATTAGGGAATGTTGGTGGAGTTTTCGTGGTTTTGATATTTGGTTTAGGAGCTGCGACGTTGATTGCTTTTCTCGAATTCCGATGGAGATCTGCTCATTGGGAAAATCCAAATAAGGTGAGTTTCTATTAATTATGGTTATGTTTTACCCTATTTTGTTGGGAGTTTTATCAAACTAAATATTTCCTCGTTTTTGTAGGGGGAAATCTATTTTATATGGAAGGAAATGATTTGTATTGTTTTATCATTGAAACAGAACAAATCACAGTAATTTAATAACTAGGAAGGGTATTTGTATCACGTATTAATAACTAGTAGTAACTGTTAAAACCCTAAATTAAATCCGTAATAAATATCTGCAACAAAATAACAGATTACGACTTTGTATTATTGGCAGAAAGAACATAAAGAATCGCTGTAACAGATATATTTGTCTAATCAAAGTAATTAAGAAGGCCGTGGTAGCCTAGTGGTAAGAGAATTGGACCCCTTTTTAAGGGAACCGCGTTCGATTCTCGACACCACCAAAACTCACCAAGTACATGCGATATACGTGCTAGTAAAATCTATGGAATTTGAAATTCCTGTGATCCGTTGCTGAACAGCTCTGTGGATACAATAATCTGAAGAAAATTTCCTTGGTCTTCAGGCCTCACAAATGAGTGGTACTGCTTTCTATCAATTGGGTTCCGAGCTAAGATGTACTTTTATTTTTGTGGGGCACTTTTGTCGAACGAAAAGTGCACCTTCTTGACTTTATTCGCAAAAAGGCCAGTGGCTGGCAAGAATAGCATGTCCAAATTTCATTGAAAACAGGAACAAGTAATTTAGGAAACCGATCTATTGTCCACCTTTCTTATGGGATAAGAAGTATCAGAGCACATTGTTTTTCAGGCAATAATAGAGATTATATAGCAATTTTTTGTTTGTTGGATAAATGCAGATCAATGTCCAAATACAATTATTCTAGTTAGTTATGTCAACTAAAACTACGGAAAATCACATTTCGTAACAAAACTAGTCCACTACAAATTATATTGAAACTAAAATGATTTTTACAAAGAAAACTACATGAAAAAACAAAACAAAATAATCAAGGTGTTTTTACTTCGTCCAAAATTATCTATAACATTACCATATTTTATAATGCATTATATATCTTATGTAACATTATACAGTATATATTATGTTACATTATACATTATATTACATTATATATTTATAATGTACATATTTTATGTAACATTAACATATTATATGTCTGATTTCGATATATTTTTTCGTTTTTTCCGTAATGTTTCAAAAAGATATTTTTCGAGGTCACACTGATCATATGAAATAAAATTTTTTAGAGAATAATATGCTATTTTTGTAACTTTTGCCAGTTTGTTTACAATTGTTCTGTTTTTTTGTCAGTGGTCTCAATGCTAACCATGAAAATGTCAAACGAGGGAAAAGTCACACACTAAAAATTTTTCAGGTATCTTAACACCAAGTAGTGTAATTTACTAAATATATCACCATGAGTACTAAAGTAAGTTTATTACTTAATAGACCGTATATTTTGTATAACAGCGAGAGACTTGGGTTTTTAATAAAGCGGAAGAAAATAGATAATTCGCGTTTGAAAGAAAAATCCTTCGGTCAATTTCGGAGCAGTGATAGAAAATAATATATAGAGAAGAATATATTACCATGAAGTGTATAACAAATATAGGAAATCGAACATTTTGAAAGTAATTAAGTCATACGGGATCAGGCGGTTGGAACATGTTTTTCGTTGTGAAAACTCCGATCCAGTTAAAAAGCTAACATTTTCAAATATTGAAGCTATAAGGAAGAGAGGGAGACGGGCAACAGGGTTTTTGAACTGTGTGGAGAAGGACCTGAAAATTTTGGGATTGAATAAATGGAGATATTTAGTTACAAGTCGAACTGTTTTAAAGAGGAGGACTGAGAAAGCCTTGGCTTGCACTAGGCTGTAGTGCTGTTTAGGAAGAAGAAATGTTCCATCACACCAAGAATGTTCTATTACCCAACTTGATGTAAAGTAGTCACCACAGTGTTTTGCATTTAGTGGCACTAAGATTTATAGTTATAGTAAGATTGGATGTATTTTTACGATACAATAAAAAGTAAAAATTATTATTTTAGAAACATGCACTAATTCATAAAAATAAAATTTATTTGTTAATCAAACTTACGTGTAGCGCAGAGAGAACATTAAGATGAACCAATACCTCCTAGAAAAGAGAAGGCCTCAACAAGGGTTACAATAAAAAAGAAATTTGAAACTTTAGTAGTCCAAACGTAATGTCATGTTCCGCATTTACCACCACTGCATATCTCAGTAGCACAAACGTAAAGACATCTTTCTTATTTTTCATCCACTGCGCAGTTTATGTTCGTTACGTCGGACTACAAAATTGATCCTTGCTGAGGCCTTCTTTCTTCTAGGAGGTGTTGAATGAACTCGAACAAGACTTAACAGTTTGGAAACTGATGAAAATCATGCACGATTAAACCACTTAATACAGTTCAAAGAGACTTAAAAAATAAAATATAATTATCCTTATTACACAACTAAAAACATGCATACCTATATATACGCCATTCTTTTATATTTTAACGGTAAACAGTGAATTGTTCAATAAAATCACTACAAATCGCAAACAACAACAAAGTTTCAACAACCAATTTTCGATTACTAACGTTAACTTCTGACAAAAAAATTAAAGCTGGCATGACAGCATTAGGAGTTATCGGAAAGGGAAATAATTCCCGTTTTGTGTGAATGAGTGAGAATCTGTGGTAAGCTAATTCTATTATAAAAGTTTAGCTTTAAATTGCGCCCTTTTGTTGTTTGGTGTTAATCTGGAATAAAATGTTCCTTCACACTGATTTTTGGTACATTCGGTAAAATATTGCGCGACAAATTTTATAGTGTGAAATTTTGAGAAAATAAAAAGTTTTTGTGATTTTTTTTTGTTATTTTTAACATTAATAAAACTCCGTTAATTCTGCACAACTATACATCAATAAAAATATGCAAAAAATTAAGGAACTCTTCATTGATTTTAATAATTTTCATGTACATATTTTTGTTGCTGCTGAAAATTTTAATATTTTTTTGTCCGTTTTAAACCCGGATATACTTCTTCTGAACAAAGCAGCATAGGCAGTTTAACACCTTTGCTTGATTTCAAAACACTCAAAATGGCGTTTTTTTGTTTTTCCTGACAAAAGAGTTTTCAAGGAACACTTTTTATCCCTTTGACACAAAATTTTTATTTAACATACTTTTAATAATTTTTTCTTTACTTTGTATTAATCTAGGTCAAATTCAGTGCAAAATAATATACTTGTCATATTAATTATTAGTTTTTATGAAATATCGTCGTTTTTTTTCTTCTTACGTTAAAGATAAAATCCTCCAAATGCTTCACTTCCAAACAATAATTTTTCAAATTTGCACTTATTTGTATTTATTTAGATCTGAGAGAAACAGTTATTCATCTCTGAAATTTCCTTAATTTACGAAATTGATTATTAATAAATTTTTGAATATGGATAAAAAATTATTTGTTTCAAATTTGGATTTTATATTTTAGTATAAATATAAATCCGATAATCTAACAGATGGTTTCTGTAACTATTAGACTGTTTTTTATAATTAAAAAATACCAAAATATATTTTGCTTGTAATTAGAGCATGAAAAAAAGAGAATATAAGATGGATCTGAGTCAAATGTTTCATGGATACAACAGGTTTTAAAACCAAAATCTTCTCATACAGAAGAATGATATTAATTTGTAATTATATTCTTTTAATATTAATGCGATGATAAAGTTGATATAAAAAGTAATCTTCTAAACTTTTACTTCTTTGTATTCAATCTAGGAATCATTTTGGACTCGCACTAAGAAAGAGATAAAATTTGCTCTTTCATTCGATAGAACTACAAAACCAGTGCCAAGATTGAGAAAAAGTACATCCCGCGGAACTTCAACCAAAGACAACAGCCGTGCTTCAAGTCGTGGAACAAGTCGCAGCACATCCTGAGTCTCTTGGAATAAACAAATCTCATCTGTATATAATTTCAGAGATTTTGTGATACACTTTAGAAATTTTACAAAAGAAATTTCGTACTGTTTGTAAAATATGTAATTCAAATAAATAAATAAAATTGAAAAAATTGCTGCTTTCATTTTAACTTCTTTAGTCAAGAAAGATTAAAAAAAACTATAGTTTGAGGGCATTAAACTCAAAATAAAGCTTTAATTTTAAAAAATTAAATTTCATCGCGAGAATTTTTAAATAGAAAAATAACTACTTCAAAAATTAATATTCTTTTCAGTAATCTTTAAAGATAAATAATCATTTTAATTATATACGTATAATTTTTTCCAATAAACAATAGATAATTTCAAATTTTACTCAAAGTTACTTTTTCAAAGTAAGTTTGACTCAAGTAACCATTGCCCGGTATATATTTGCCCGATACTCCAAACACTGATGTTTCTTCCAATCTATCGTCAGTAAGTATTAAAATATAGAATAAATATAAATATATCAAATAAATATAGATATATCAAATAAATATAGATATATCAAATAAATATAGATATATCAAATAAATATAATAATATTAACGAATAAATTAATATAAAATTGGATATAACAAATATTTCGGACATTCACCAAAGCGACGATGTGATTGTTGACATTCACCGGTGAGAGGCAGAAATAAGGGTATTTAGCAAATATTTCGGACATACACACCAAGCGACTACGTGAGTGTTGACATTCACCGGTGAAAGTCGACATTCTCCAGATTTCGGTGTTTCACCGTAACATATATATATCAAGTAATGAATGATCTGGAGATAAAATTATAAAAAAAAATAAAGCTGCGTCTACTACTTGCCTAACTCATTGTCTGACATTAGCCTTCAATAGTGCTTCATATTAGCCCTCTGATTTGTATCGTTAATGAAAGTTACGTTAATTATATTTCAAGTTTTAACAGATTAAAATAATCTTAGTTTCTTATTAAGTTAAATCCTAAAGGGATATATTATTTAAGTGATGTGAAATTGAAGCTTTGAAAAGTAAAAACTTTCAATGTAGAGTTTTTAGATTTTTTTAAAATTTCATATCTTGAACAAACTTCGAACAGGTATTAATAATCTAGTCAATCACCTACAGAATAAGAATAAACCTATTTTAAGTTTTATGAAAATTGGCAGTATATTAATGTCTCAAATTTTATCTCCTAATTTTGAGCGTCTCGCAATAACCCCCTTATATTGAGTGTTTTACATTAATCCCATTATTTTGAATTTTCACAATGACCTGTTTTATTTATATATCCCACATCACATTAGCCAAAATACTTAAAGTGTCTTAGATTAGCGACTTTATTTTTAGTGATCAAAAAGTATTACTTTGAATGCATTGTATTAATCTTGAGGGACCCAACATGATTATGAATTCTAACATCCTTATTTAATAGAACAGTAAATACTTCATAACTAATTAGCAAGAACACTCAAGTAAGAAAAATATGAAACATTCTTCAAACTTAAAACGAAATATATTCATAAACCATACAAAATCAAGTTAATACTAGTGCATGTTAAAAATAAGTAAAACATTTAGATTCAATCGTAAGTAAAAATTAACGATTTTATGAAACCATTACAAAAGTAATATGATGCTTTACACATTTAAATTTTTAGTGTGATCAGTTTGACATAAAGGAATATTAATAGCGAAATGAATACCTATATTTTTTACCGCTAATTAATTTGAATAATGGACAATAAAATTTTAAATGGGATGTGCAATAAAAATTTATGACGATATAAAGAATTTTATGAACGAAGTCAATTGCGAGCTATAAGCATATTGCATATTTTCACGAGTAATTTAACTTCATTACGACATCAAATTTCATTGTGAAATAGTTTATGATTTTGTTTACCTTATGATGTTAATGAGATGTGTTTTAAACATAAAATTTGATATTAAGAGACTCTTTTATTTTAGATGATAGTTGTGGTAAAAAGAAAAACGAAACCATTTACTTCATTAGCGACTGTTAAATATTCATAAGTATAACGATTAATTCGAGAAAATTATGTTAATTTTTAACATCCTGATTAACATTCTGGATTATTTTGATAGTTCTAAATGAGAAATACTATAATTGTTTCTAATTTTTGATTACTTTATTGACTAATTAAGGGAAGTAAAGTCACCTATCTTCCTTCATGGTTTCAACAAATGGTAAATATGATTTTGACACAAAGAAACTTTGAGTCGTAACTATAATATATCTAAAAACAACAGAATAAAATATATCAGAGATATATGAAACAAGGAAATGAGATTTATAACTGAAAACTATTATTATATATCCGAACAAAAGCTACAAAAACGTTCTTATCTTAGTTATAAGGTATCTGAAAAGAACCATGAAATGTCTTAGAAAAATCAGGAATCAAAACTATGAAATATCTTAAAAAACCATTAATCGAAACAACGATGCATCTGACTGAAAAATACAATATACCTGAATAAAAACTCTTAAACTATTAAGAAATATTAATCTTAACTATAAGATACTTGAATAAAAACCATGAAATCTTACAGAAAACAATAAACTAAAACTGAGAGATAACTGTCTGAAAACTATAATATGTCTGAATAAAAGCTAAGAAGCATTTAAAAAAATTTCTAAAAGTATAAAAACTATAAAATATCTCAGAAAAGCATAAACCAAACTTATGAGATATCTGAAAAACTATGAAAAATCTGAGAAAACTACCTAAAGATTGTGATTCAACTTTATTTAATATGATATTACAGACTAAAATTTTGCAATGTGTGCTTTTGTTTTTATAAGATAGCGTTTAAGTTACGCAAAAGTTTAAGGAATAATCTATATCTAAATGTTGGTCGTTAAATATTGAGATTGTAAAAAATTCATTAAAGGATGTTGTTACGATTATTATTATGTGTAAAAATAATTACGATTATTATTATAGTGTTCATCATTGAAACGACCACATTAAATAACTGCCACTGAAGTTAACATCTCTTTACTTAGATGAACATAGTCTTATAAACGTATAAAAAAATATTATAATTATATATTTATGTTTGCAATACACGTGGTATTAGCTGCAATAATTTATAACCAGAAAATAAGTGGTAAAGTTTTGTATTTTCTAAAACCGAATATATTAGAATTTTCATTCCAAAATTACAGTAAATTAACCAGAAACAGTCTGTCTATTCAATTAACCGTAGAGTTTACGGTTAGGTACATTTCTTTACCTATGCTGTTTTGAAACCGTTGCAACTAGTATGGTTAAAAGAATCGCGAATACAAAACTAAACGGTTTTGCAACTATTTACAACTAGCATGGATTCAAATCATAAAAATGAAATTTAACTGAATATTGTAGTTAGGAGTTTCGTCAGGTAATGAGCATTGGAATTAGACTGTGGTTGAGTTGTGTTTTGTTAAATGAATCGTGGAATGTTACATTATTAGTTTATATAGTGGTACCATCTATCATGAGAGATGGAAAATACTAGACTCTTTGGTGCTAACTTGCTCTACGGTGTTATCTATCCGTTAATGAGAGGTTTGTATTATAATAACCCAGAGTGGTCAATTGGGTCATGAAATTAACATAGTAGCCTTTTTGGCTATATTATGCACCCAGCTGCAAGGAGCTTAGTGGCTTCATTAGTGAGTTTAGTTGACGCAAATAAAATTCTAATTGTTTAAGCGGAGTAGTTGAAAACAGCCAATAAATAACATTTATAACAGTTAACAATTTGAAAATCATTTTTTACGCTTTTTCCATTGTATTGGTTGAATATGGTAAAACAACAATTAAATAAATTGTTACTTGAAAATGTTTTCAGCGAAATTTCTAACACTGTAGTCAACTTTAAATCAAATAAAAGGGAATCATTAGAGGAAATGTAACTATTTCATTATTTATTTAATGTTCGAGCACTAAAATAATAAAATAAATTCAGCAATTTGTTTATTGATTTTTCTTAATCTATCGAAAATATATTTTAAAATTCGATCTGAGTGAATTAGTGAAAATTTATGCAATAAAAATGAGTTATATTTGGAGGCAAAGTGTAGGTGTTTTTCAATAATTTTTTTCCTTTCAAAAGTGGATAATGCTATTTTCTTGGATTATGTTAAACAAATTTTTCAAATGTTTATTTCCAATGTGGACTCATCTGGGAAATATAGACGAAAGTAAATTTCTCTCCAAATCAAAAATAAATAAAAATGTTAATGCAGCCGATGAAACGCGCATTCACAAAAGTGACTATGTCATTATAAAACAAATTCAAGTCCTTTTAAGCTGATAATAAATTTTTCTTCAAAATTTTAATCCCCAAAAGTGTTTTACTGATTTTCTAAGTGTATTGGAAAAGCACTTTTGTTATCAACTCTTTTTGAATAAAATTTTATCGTGGTGAAAGTGTAGGGCTATTTTCGTTCAAATGCGGAAATTCTGTTCTTCAAAAATGGGTGCCATTTGTGGAATTACAAACGAAATATGTGCATAAAAAAAACAATTTCCATTTAACAACAAAAATATCTGAAATTAATTAAATATGTTTTGCTTCTTCAAGTTCTTTCTCCTTTTCTAAAGCAAGAGAAAGGTTATTATTTGCTGAAATAGAATTTAACTAATAATAATTTTTATAGTTTTAGCTATTTTGTTTTAAACAACACTTTATACTTCAAACTATAAGCTAAATTTTCAATATCTTTTTGGTGCCAGAATAAATATCGTGGCCTTGAGGCAAATTTCTTGATTTTTTGCTTCCAAAATGAATATAATTGTTAAAGCAAAGGAAACATCGCCGTATTAAACAAAGCATAGGCAAATTATATATTTATTGATACCTAAATTAATTTTTCCCATAAATAATTCGGAAATTATTCTATTTTAAGAAAAGAACTATGTCTATTTTTTTTGAAGATTAGGAGCTTTTGAATGAGTGTTATCTGCAAAGGAATAAAAAACAATTTTATTAAGAAAAAGCACATTGGCGAAATATATATTAACAAAATAAGTTTTTTTTATATAAAAAAATATATGTACTGGTACCATTCTATGGTAAAAAATTAGTTATTTTGAATAA